TTCTCTTCTTGGCCTGCGTTAAACGAATCGTTTACTAGCACTTTTAAATAACAAGCAGAATTTACATTCAATCAAAAAACGTCGATTTAACAATAATTTTAGCTTAGGGGATATCATGCGGTCTATTTTTTTGACATTTTTAGACCAGAAAGCCATACAAAATTTCGACTACTTAGTCTGATTTTTATTTTGTAAAAATACACGGTTTTTTGGCAACTTTACTAGGTTGTGTAGGAAACAGATTTTTGATTTTTTGTATCTTTATGTATCTTCCCCTCCCATCCTAACTTTAAAACTCTTAAAACTTTAAAAATGGTTTTCGAAACTAGTTATCGACCAGTCAACATTGTTAATATCTATATTATTCTCAATTTAAAAAGTTAATAAAATATATACGTTATCAGTTAAGTTTCAAAAGTTGCTATCAAAAAAAATTAAGTTGGGAGGGGGTTAAAAACAAAATTGTGAAAAATTGAGTTATCATTTGTTTAATTGTTACTTTGATACCATCAATAGTACCATTAGAAGCATCAACTGCTACTGCCACAGAAATAACTGACAAATCATCAGATAATATCCAGTAGAGTTGTTGCATTGTTACATTTGTAACATATTTGTAATGTCTGCATATTTTTTAAGTATTCAATGTCAAAATAAAAAACACAATAGTTTTTTTTATCAATAAATATAGGTACAAATGTTTGTTAGTTATCTATCAAAAAGCAGAAGCTAAATATTATAACATAATACCTATGTTTTACATAAATAATTTTTTACTAATAAATAAAAAAAAAATTTTAACGAAAGTAACGTGTTGTCAATTGTTACGATACTAAAATACACAAATACGTATTTTAATAATATATTATATTATCATATAAAAATTGCTAAATCTAAATATTATAAAAAAAAAGTTTATAACCGTAATCCGGCCCTGGGTTTTACATTCTCTATACAATATATTGAGTTCAGTGAGGTATACTGAGGTATTGTTTTTACAAACTTAAGAACCAAAAAAAAAAATGTTGTCTAGTTATTATGAATTAAATAGATATAATACTACAACTGTTAATTAGTGAAAGTTATTTAACATAAAGCGTAGGACTTTATTTCAATATACCGAAGGCAAAAAGTACGAAATAATTATATCTGGTATAGAAAAAAAAAGCAAAAAAGAAATGCCTCCAAAGAGAATCGAACTCTCGACCCCTGGTTTACAAGACCAGTGCTCTAACCACTGAGCTATGGAGGCCTGATGGCTCACATGGGCTAAACTCATGAATAATAATGAAACATTTTTATAAAAATACCTTAATATTATGTATTTGTATAGAAATATCATTTGTTATACACCTACTTCTGATCTGTTAGTTTATTTAATTACCACGACAAATTTGAACTTTTGATATGTAAACGATAAACTATTAATTATCATGGGTAACACTTTGATTTTGTCTAAAATCTGGTTTTTACGTTAAATTATTAAAACTAAATATAATTAAAATACGTGCATTAGGGAAAAGGATTTTATATCAACAGTCAGTAGCTTGTATTTGATAAAGAATGAAAAAAAAATATTTGTCAAAAACTATAGTAGTACTGGTAGTCTGTACTTACTTAGTACAGACTACCAAAAAACTTCAGGTTTCAGAGACCAATTTTGAGCTAAATTAAAATCTTATCATAAACCCTTATAAAAAAATATTTTACTAAAACGTAAATTTGCTAAAAACAAGTATTTTTAAAAATTTTCTTACAAACGACGTTCAAGTATAGATTAATAAATTATTTAGGTATGCTTAGATTAAATCGCAATAGTTTTTTTTTTTTTTTAAGCCTGGCGTTTAGACTTTAGATGCAACTCAACATACATGAATGATGTAAAGACGTATACACATAACCGTACTTGGAATATTACACACAAAATTGTATACATTTACTATTTACGTGGGTGTTAAAATTTAAAAAAAATGAACAATTGAATGATACGACAAAATTAATGGATCAATCACGGAACACTTGATGATACTTTGAAAAAACCAAAATACATCTATTGGTTCAATTCACCCGCCAGTAACTCTGTTTCTTTGACTACTTATTGGGGATTTCGTATTTGTAAAAATAATCATAATCTACATTTGTAGATGTTCTAAAGTTCACCAACTAATATCGCTAAAATGTCAAATAGTCATAAAAGTATGTTCAACAATGTTAACTTCAAATGATATCACTGAAATAGCTGTGACTATAATGCGTTGTGTACAAATAATTAATAAGTAATATTTTTGTATGCTAATAAGGTTTATTAGGAGCTGCTATTTTTTTATGATAATGAGTAACGGGGAATTGCGAACTTCTATAGTCGCAGTTCCTTATAGTACCAACTGCGGTCAGTGGCATTTAGTCATTTATTGTGTTTTTATTGAGGTAAATGCATGCTGTGTTAAGGTAATAAATTCGTTTTTACATTATTAGTTTTCATCGACAAATAATCGACCGTTGAATGTATTATACAAATATCAAGGAAGTGAACATAATAGAAATAGAGAATAATATATAGTCAGATATCTTACACCTATTATCATACAGTTATATAAACCATAAGAAAAAATATGTTTAAGAGGAAGTGCAATCTCGTGTAGATTAAACTTGATAAATAAAACATTACGCAAGTTTAGCCGAAATTCTGCGAATATTATATACGAAAAATATCTGAACATTAGCTTTATTCCTAACATCGAACAACTCATAATTTCAACAATATCTGTTGTGAAATATTTTAGGATAGCTTTAAATTAAGCCTCCAGTAAATTATAATTCAAGTTTTATTACATCTCCTAAAAAATTTGCCATGCATGTACTATATGTATAACTTTATTAAGCAAGGTTGTATCCTGTTAGGTTATCCTGATCAAATTATTCTTTTTTTTATGCTTGGAACCGAAGCCGCTAAAAATACAGTCTAGTCTCAACATACCATTGCCCATTACTTCGAGTAAAAATAATAGATACTTTGTTTCGATTCTGGAACCACCCCGTGGTGAATTTTGTAATAAGACTCCTTTTTTTTATTTTTTTTTATAGGTATAACACATGATATTTCTGGGCTTGTCAATTGTCTACCGCGAAGCAGTCGATTATATCTAGCAAGGAAAAGTCTAATTTGATAGTGCACATAATAATATACGAGTACAATGTGTGGGACATGCTTCCATAACGATGCGGGGGACCTAATATAATAATATATTATTAATAAATAACAATATTGTGACACTTGCTAAGTAATTGTATTAATAGATTACAAGTGAGATAAAGTTAGAAATTCTTAATTAAAATGATAATGTTTATTGTTTAACCTTAAGGTCAGTAGAAGAAAAAAACGCTCGTGTTGGAATTTAAAAGTTCTACAAACGATATTCAGTTACTTTCCATCAAGAAGCTTTATTTATTAATCGCTTTTAATATTATATGTTATTGTTTATTAAAAAAAAAAAAAAGAATAATAAAAGAATCCATTCAACTTTCGACAGAAAAAAATCGTACAGCGTTTTAAGTTGGTTTTCAAGAGTAAAAAAAAAAAATCCACATCGACGTGTTTGATTAAAATCAAAAAGCTTAGGCACTTCACTCTTCAGACAACACATTTTTTATGGAACAAGCCGCCAATAATAAATTAATAAATCTAAATACACGATAGAAGTAATGTAGCTAAGTATAAAAAAAATCTCGAGATAGAGACGGTTCTATTGTGCTGCAAACAAAAGATGTATTTACATATTTTGTTTTGATTACAATACAAAATACTATTTATTGTAATTAAACAACAGTTTGTTCAATATATCCAATATTCTTATGATAATAATAATATCCAAGTATTGTTCGGTGTTTACACAAGAACATTATATTTTAAACGTTAAATCACTTTTGTGCCTAAAGCTCGAAATGTTAATTCCCGGTTTCTTGTTACTCGTGCTTGCCTTGCCTCTAAGAAATGGAGAGTACCTACTTGTAAAAATAAATCAGTCTTAAACCTTAAATTTTTTACTGCTTATTTGAAACTTTACTTTATATCTTACTGTAGAGTATGCGATAGTACCACAGATTCTATGATTATATTCATATAATTAGTGCTGGTATCAATCAAGTTTAATAACACATTAATTTTTTTTTTTTTTTTTAATAATTCGTTTTTTACGAATTTAAATTATCACTGTGGTTAGTAAGCTATATTGTATAAAGCAAATTTTCGCCTGGAAACATAAATTCACATGTTACGGAATATTATATTTTAAAAGTTTATGACTTTTCTGTTTTGGTATAATGGTAATTGTACTCTTATTTGTCAGTAGGCGTGTACGATATGTACAGGTGTAGCGTGCCACCAAAAAACTGTATATCAATCAACGTTAGAAAAACATCAAATATGTACACAGTAATAACATGATAGGTATGACTCAGGATCATTGGTTACGGCTGGTTAGCACATAGAATTTGCGCGTGTTTTATAGTAGTAAGTGGATACTGCATTCCAAAGTTTACGATTTATATAGAGAAACTGATGTACTTTTGTAAACAGCCGATACCATGACTTCAGCCAACTATAAGAGATTGTAGCAGAATTGAAATATCTAAAAGAAACAGCACTTATGTATGTTTTAGAATGACTATTTAGCAGTTTCCAACATACGGCTCTGTATTAATTGTAGCTGTAAACATTACACAGTTTTGGAAGATATAAAATTAGTAAATACTGTTAGCTGAACCATTTATATTTTTCTTAACATTTCAAATAGTTAAATTGCTTTATTTTATTTTCATAAGACAATCAAACATAATATTTTATTTTAAATGCGTAGTTATTTATTTAATAAGGTGTTTACCATAGCGTAGTAGACTGTATGTAATATAGAAAAAAGTAACACAAGTAATATGCATCATATTAATTAAGAAAGATAATTTCTGGAATGTGATAAACGAAAAAATGATTGGATGATGCAAAATCAGGTTTAAAAATACATATTTACTATCAAAAATATTTGCATTAAAAAACTGCAGTTGACAATGTATGAACGGGAGATTTAACGTTGTTCTTTTTATTTTGTTTCTTAGTTAAATTTACATTTTGAAAAGTCCATATCAGGATGTTGTTCCATAAACCTGCAAAAATAAATAAACCATCCACATTTAACAAAATACATTTTAAAACTTTTAAAAAGTATATACTTTTTTAACACGTCTTGTTTTTTCTTCTCGTCTGAAGTTGGTAAACCCATGTTTTTTTGTTGCTGATCATACATCATTTTTTCTACCATGGACCTTGTCTCGCCTTCAAGGTCAGACAGCTTAGACGGCTCTGGATTAATCTTCTTAGTGGAAATTTCAGGATCCGACTCTACCAATTTTGACCACCATTCCATTTTATTTACCTAAACGACAACGTACCATTTATTTGTTTTTAAGTTTTTAATGGTCATTTTGGCCATTGCTAAGTAATACCACAGACAATATTATTCCTTTAAATTAGTAGTTAAATAATTTACTTTATCTAATATTATTATACTAGATGATTATAATTTAACAATTATATCCCTTTATTTGATAAATCAATATTTCTGCCCAAGTACCTTTTCTATATTAATAAGGAATGTTTTTCCATCTTCGAGTAGCCAAGTGGTATCCTCGAGCTTGATTTCGTGTTGTAGCTCGTCGTCCAATATCGGTGGTTGTCCTTTAATTCCAACACATATGCTTTTCTTTTTTAAGTTAACAATGACATCGCGTGATCTCAACTTGAAAGCGGCCTTAGAGGGTATTTTTAACTATAAAAAAAATACATGTAGATATGAGACCGATTTTTTCAAAAATCCATTGCTAGATTTGTATTTAACTTAAATTTTCAGTATTTTTCTAATTTTCAGTTGGTTAAATAGTAAATGTTACTGGTATCTTGTAATGTGTCTGTTTCATTATAGTCAACAATTAATCAAAATAGAATATCTATGCTTACTATTGTAAACCGTACTTTACATGAAACTAAAAAAACTGCTGTGCCGCGAATAATACCTACAACGCGCTATTATACAATTTCAAATTTTTGCATCCCTAATTTTTTTTTTCCATCTATTCTTGAAAGAATCATTTTAAAAATCACGGCAAATTATTTGATAACCACTATGGCGAAAAATCGCTTGGTGCGCGATGGTCACCTGCCAATTTTCGTGTCATGGACTATAATACATCGCAATAACTATTTGCAGACTATGTTCAAGGTCTTAATATATAACATTCATAAAAAAGGAATAATTGTTTTTCGTTGTAAATGAGTTTTTAATGTATTCCACCATACCAAATAATCCAGTTTTATAAATATGTACGTCTAATCAGATAATAAATTATTGTGCCAACTATTTGTCATTTATTATTTTTAATAGATATCCTTAAGTCGAGCAGAATGTATTTTACTTGGTAGTTTTTTTAAAGACGACTTATTCGTGTTTTTTTCAAAACTTCTTGGTTATGACCTAATGTTTAATTGACGTGTAATTAAAAAATTAATGTGCCTACCCCGTGGAAATTCAATTTTATTTACCGAGATTCTATGTCTTTTGGAAAGCTTTCGTGAAATGAACTACCGGGGGCGAAAAATTTCTGTAGTTTAATAGATACGAGAACAAAGTATAATACGTAATAACCTTTTAATTTTAAATTTCAAAAAAAATAATCGTAAATAAAAAATATAATTATCATAAATGTATATTAAAAATAAACAAAATTCCTTAATATTTTCTCCTAAAGTGTCGGTACAATATGTTTGTACACGATTTATACTGCGATTATGTTATAAAACAAAAATTACATATTTATTAGCTTAATGTCAGCTATTAGTTTGAGTGAGTATACTTCAGGCAATCCCAAGTGGTTTTTTTTTTAATACATAACAATGCACATCATCACTGGGTACGAATATAATAAAGTCGTGACCAGCAAAGAATGCGCATTTTTAGAGTTAGTTAACGTCCAAACAGTTATTAACACGACCTTGATTTTTTCCAAATTCAAAAAGTACCGAGGGATTTCCATTGCAAATATCAAAACATCCGTTTTCTAAAAGGTTGATTCATTAATAAAACCAATGGTTAATACAATCGCGACTCACGAGTTGTTTGAACCGATTTAATTAAGTCATTAACATTTTAGTTTTCATTAAATAATGAAAGCTAAAATAATTGGTTTACTATAATAAGCGGTAAGTGGTAATAACTAACATTACTTTTTCAGTTGTTATAAGTTTAATTTTAAGATATACTTCATAGACAAAGCACTTAAATTTGAATTTTTAAAAAACAATACTGTACTTTACCATTGTATAACTCCGCATTAGATAAGTTGTGAAAACCAAAAGTGTCTTTTTTTATTTTTTGTTATATTTGATTATATTTTTTAATAATTTTTGTTCATAAAGCACTATTGTCAATAATTTAATATAAATACTATGTTCATAGAAGTCACACGTAAGTGAGGAAATATTATGTAAACAATATTAATAGGTCATAAACATTTAAAAATATGATCATAATTACTTTTGTTTCCTCAGCAAACTAAGTGGTAAAGTCAGTTATCAATGGTGTTAATACCATAGATACCTAAACCGTAGAAACTTGTTAGTTCTTACTATCATCGTAACTTTAACGTTGATTCTCTAAACTGAAAAAAGTAAAGTGAATTTAACGGAATAATATTTATATTTTTTATGACTACCTCTTTGTATTCTTAAAATTACAAGAGAACTATTATTCATACTTTTGTTTTTCATTATATAATATTATATTTAAATACATAAACTAGAACTTTAAGCGTTTACAATACCCCACTCAAGTTTTAATATTTTTTTTTGACGTTTACTTAGTGACCAGAGTTAATAAATTTAGGCAAAAAAAAATCTAAAAGAGCGAATTGACATTCGTCCTTTCAGGCATTGTGGTCTACCGATGGGACAAACTTATTTTAAGAATATTTGTTATTGAAAAAATGTATTAAAGATAGAATAGTGCGTATCGACAATTCTCGTAAAGAACGTTAGTAGGGATTTGATTTTAAACTTTTTATTATTTTCACTCTCTCACTCTTTTCACTTCTCTATTCCCCTTTACTTCCTAGACCTAATAGCGCTAGATAAGGCGATACGAAACCGCAAAATGAAGGAAAAAATCTAGTTAATTGTCAATTAACTCATTAGAATTTACAGCCCTAGATTCTAGTACTTCGAGTTGTATGAAGAAAAACCAAAAAGTTGAAAAGTTGAAAAACCGGCCAATTTTTTCGGGGTTTTCCCGGTTTCGGGGGTGAGGAAGTTGACTTTTTCGACTTCTGACTCACCAAAGTACCAATCGCATAAGATTTCGGATCTAATAATGGTGCTAAACGAGTAATTAGGTCCACAGAAAAAAAGTTATCGTGTTTACACACAAAAAAAAAACGCACATCATTTAAGAATCAATACCTTCTCAGCTCCGCATCGAAGCTAAAATTTGTGACAAAAGGATTATTCTTTTAAGTAATCATTCACATTGCTAAAACTAATTGAAAATATTATTTTAAGTTTTCTTTCTGGTACAACTTTTTATAAATCACAAATTATATTATCTTTGAGATCTCGTCCCTTTAACGGTTTTGCGGTTAACAGTTGATTTAAAAAAAAAAAAAAACAATTACATTTTTTATTTTTATTTTTACAGAAACCAACCGATTATATTAATAATTATAGTGACTCTTGCGGTTGAATCAGTATGTATAAGTAGCAATTTTAATAATCGTGAACTGAGAATGCCAGATTTTGAAGTTCAATATCAAGATTAACGGTCACTGTCGTTCTCCCACCTTATACCGGACGCAGAGTAATGCACACATTTTGATTGAGCCGGAGATATATAAAAAAACACACTTGTATTACATTGTGCAGTGTGTGTGTGGTTTCTTCGACGACCAAGAATCTCGACAACAGATTGTACACACATATTATGACGATTGTCTAGGGCCGGCGGCGTAAGTAGTTAATTCTAGGGAAAAAAAGTCCTAATAGCAAGAAGTTTTATTTTTTTTGAATTACCTACTATGAGCCCAAAACTGGATAGCGTCGTTGACGTTGAAAATACACCTGCTGGCGTAAGTACAACACATTGTACTTTTTTAATTTTAAATATTAAAATCGTTAGTGTGTTTACTAACTATACTAAAACGATCACTTTTTAATAAATAAATAAATACAATTTAAACGTCCATAGAAATGGCAAATAAATTTGAAGAGAAAAAACACAATTCCCTAAAAAAGACGAAATATATAACAAGAATTTAACTAAAATTTTACATTGGAAATTATATTATAAAACTATTAAAACTACTAAAAAATGCAAGTACATAAAAAGTAATATTACATGAATGTCTGTCGTGTTTATACTTTCTCAAATTTTAACTAAACATGGATACATGAAAACTGCTGAAATCTATTTAATATTTCCGTTTTTACATTTTGTACACATAAAATCCTAATAGGTACATAATTTAACACAGATTAAAAAAATAAAATATAAAATTACGCTTAGAACTTTATATTGCAGAATTTTACTTCAATCATGTTAATTCTAACGGCATACCTAACAAAAAACTGGAACTAAAAAACATTAAAAAATGTTTTTTGCAATCCATATACACAGACTTGGGTTAGTGTTGAAAGAATGCTCACACGTCTAAAAATTATACTACCTAACTTTAAAACTCTATTTTTTGCGATAGACAATAAAGTTTAGGAAATATTTTTAACAATGTATTACACGCCCAAGTTGTGGGTTTTTATTAGTCTCGAGTATTTTATTTCTTATTGTCTTAACTTAGCACACAAATCTTGCATTTTACAGTGTTAATAAGTGATAAATAACGCACAGTCGTATACGCGGATATTAAAGTAGTTAATTAATATTTTTATTTTTTATCGTTTCGATCTAGTTAAATAGGAAAATCGTAATGGATCCATAGGCAGAAATGCGACTGCTGTCCCTTTAAGGCTTAAATTACGAAGTTTGTTTTTTTTTCTTGGGGCGTAAGCCTTGAGATTATGTCATTTGTTTTTTTAAATCAATAGCAGTATTAACGTAAACGATAACGGTTATGTCCGAGGGCGATGGCTGATCAGTAGCGAGTGCGGATATGGAACCGGATGGGAAGGCGGATCTGTGGGATTCGCAAGCGTTGTGGCTTCGAAGCAAGGTCGATATAATATATGTTTCCATACTCGATTTTCGTTCTGTAACGATGAAATAATAATGTAGTTGTGTTAGTTCCGTCGACTATTGCTAAGTCATCATAAACGTTATTGTTGTGTTGGGGCATTGGCTAAAATTAGTCATAATCTATTAATGTTGTATCTATTAGTGTTGTACTTTAACTCACGATTACTCACATGTTATTGTTGTTTTCGTGGGTGATATTTGATGTTAAGGTTTGACAGCCAGCCATTTTTGTGGCTACTACTAATTTTACCCAATGCTCGCGTAGACTTAATTTCTTACGGAAAGTAAGGATGAGGTGAATCAAAATCTATATTGTCGTTTCGGAATGGACGATAGCTATAGCCGAGTAATTGGCTATTGAACTGGCAGAATACAGTATTTCTCGTACTAAAGGATAATAGTTGCTGTGTTACCACAAATGTAAAAGTAAAAAAAAACAAACAATGGGTCGAACAGACATTATAACACACCCTTAGACAATCCTCTTAAGGGTTACGAAACTATTAACCCCAATAAATTGATAAAAAAAACTCTATTGACAGAAATACAAAGTAAAGCCATTAGTATAACTTTTAATTTATTATAAATAAAAGAAGCTACAGAGGGGAGATAATTTCCTGGCATATCATTCTTATCACGTATGTCCCTGTTTTTAACTATAAAATAATGTGCTATTCTTGATGTGGTTAATTAATTTGTATATTCTATTATATTTTTGTATTATTTATTTACTATTAAAACGAGAATGATTCATTATTTGTTTACTTCCGAATTATACTTTTAAAGATAAGTATTGTATTTTAGGTGTAATAATTAATAGTATTAGTATTATTGACGGTTTTCATTAGTTTCAATTGACAGAATTTTATTAGATGTATGATTAATACATCATTGTTGGCCATTAGGTATACCAACTAATACGGCCATTAATGATAATAAAATGATTGGTAGTTTTTTTTCTTGTGTTTTATTTAACGTTTCGAGGTCTCCGATATACAAAATTGTGTACTCCTTATGTGTTGAAACTCTATGAATTTAAGATTTGTAAATGGTAACGTATATACTATATATATATATAAACTTTTTCAATAAAGAATAATTTGCTGATAATTATGAAAATTTAGGCCTGGAGAGGGGTGGTGTGTGATGAAGTAATGTGCGCAGATAAAAATAATACTATACTCCACCTTTCCTCCCGTCTAAAATTTTTATCGACCAGTCAAAAATTTCAGCAAATTATTCTTAATTTAAAAAATGATAAAATATATAAACGTTACCATTTAAATAGCTTAATTTCATAAGGTGCTTATATAAATAAAGCTTATAACTAGTACATAAGGTGATGACTGATGAGATTATACTTCTAAGAAAATAACTTAAATTGGGTGAACTATTAACTGTAGAAAAATATCAAAAAGTATAATTTTAAGAAGTTAAATTTCTTGTGCGGTATAGACTGATACAATAACCCTAAAAGTGCAGGACTTGTAAAGCGTGTAGAGCGTTTCTTTAATCAATCACGACCGTTAACTAACAAATTCATAAATACTAAATAGTAACATCAAAATCAAATTACCGAAGGCCACGAGATGAAGACTCAAGTCACAACGAAAAATTTTAAGATACGTTTTCAACGACGTAGTATCTAAAACAATTCAAGTATACGTCGTTCTGAACAGTATAAGATAAACCCTTTCATTTAGGAACAATTTCAAGATTTATTTTGGATATATTATGTATATAGTTTTCTATGAATTATAAATAGCAAATTGTTGCTAAATATTTTCCATAACTTATACTTCGGTCTCCAAGTTATGAATTATGATCAAATCAAATTGTATAGCTCAATTACCTACAATTAATTGTATCACAACATGTAAAGCCGACCTTCAGAAAACAGAAAAAAAAATTCCGGTTTAAGTTGAAGTATTACACAACCCGTGCCAAAGCAAATAGTTTGTTCTTATAACATCGACAAGAATCAAGAAGTGTATTGTTTTAGCTAACGCCCATCAATAACCTTGATCTTCAAACAATATTAGAATTACATAATATTATATGCTTTATGGTCCACACTTAAATAACATAGGTACAAATAATAATTATACAGATTACACACGAGTCCAAAATGTTTTCTGTTGGAAAAAATTAGTTATCGATTAATACTTTTTTAAGTTCGAATAGGTTAGGTCTGTTTTTTAACTAAAGCCAAACTACCATCATAAAACAAACCCTTATTAATGCGAGTTATTGCGCAACAACTAGTATTTCATATTTCGTTGTAAGTAGTGAGTTAGTACTAGTATTTAGTGAGTTTTGATTCAGATAGTTATTAAATGCTAATTTGTTTTTTTAGTGCACAAATTTGATTACTATTTAGAAATGTATACACAATTTTAATCTGTAATACAAAAATATCTAAAACAACATTTGTCACTTAAGAAAAAAAAGTTTTGTTCAACCAGAAATTTATAATACAAGTTTCTGAATACGTAATATATATATATTTTTTATTACTACTAGGCGGAAATAATTAAAAACCCTAAACTAATAATAGCTACCATTTTCAAAGTAGCAACACCAGTATTTTTAGGATACTGCTAATAAATTTGGAATATTAGCTAGTTTTATTAACTGATTTATAAACCAAAACTAAGTTGTTTTAATAATTAAATAATAATTTAATTTTTCAGGTTTACAGATGGACCATCCCAAGACCGTCATTTTCTAGTGGTATATCACTTATTGATTCACCAACGCGCACTCAAGAAAATAGTATAAAGGTAAAAATAATACAATTATATACAAATTATTTTTCATCATGATTTTACCTCAGACCTCCGATTAAAAAAAAAATACTGTAAACAATTCATAGTAATGAAAATATTCATAACAAGTAGATATTTAATATGTAATTCAATTATCATTATGCGATTTTCGACCCAACAAATACAAAATGAGTTTCTATAAGATAACTTTGGGTTATTTCATGTGAAACTATAGTCGCTCACCTAATGTGTGAGAGACTGTAGTTCATAAATGATTGGCAATTTTAACATACATTCTTTATAAATTCTTAGTGTCAAAAATCTTTTTTAGATTTTTTTTGCATTTGGTGGTTGGTTTTTTTAATAAAATTATCCAAAAAAACCTTATGTTCCCGACTGTAATTTAACAGCCGACAATGATAACAACATAAAACTTACACAGTTAAAATTATAATTAAGTGTACTATAATTATTTTTGAAAAAATATTATTTTATTTTATTTTTTACTTTTTTAATTTTAAAAAACATTGTAAGGGGTCAAAGAAATTTAAAATTCAAAAAATTATTTTGCTTATATAAAAATTAAATTATGTTCTTATGACCCTTATTAATTATTATCATTGAACCAATTAAATTTTTTTTTGCTATTAATTTACGGTTTCAAACACGACCCATAACACATAACATATGTTATGTGACTGAACGAAAATTTTCCAAATTTATTAGTTCTTACTTTCAAATTAGTGGAACATCTGGTAAAATTTTGGTGATGGAAAAATTATTTTAACACCAGTAAGGGTTCAAATTTTCAAAAGAACCGAAGATTCTTAATGTTTAGATGAAAATAACAAAATATAAATGTTTTAGAAGAACTAATACAATATTATGTTTATTTTAGAGCAAAGCTTCATCGACTAAAAAGCTATTATTGTGCGCTCAAAACTTAGACGCCCATAATCTATCATATAACGTTAAGATCGACTTGGACTCATTATCTATAGCATCATCCACCCACTTTACAATCGTGAACGGTATTGATGGACAGTCAAAAACCAAAAAACCAGATCAATGTTGGTTTGCACATCATCAACTCACAGTATTAGTTACTGTTATGACAATAGTATTATTTCTAGCTATCATGTACTGCATATTTTATGTACACAGTAAGTAGCATAGTATAAATAATCTAGAAAAAACTTGAGCAACTTATGGTTATATACATGATAAAGAATATTAAAAAACGCTTAACCATAAAATAATACAATTTCCGCTTATACGTATTTCGGCAACAATGTTGTCATCTTCAGCGCTAACGACCGACTGAGTATTATTTTATGTTTAAGGGTTTTTAAATATTTTTTAGCATACTATATATTGCTAAAACAAACAAAATCCATCATAAAACTATTTTTTTGTTCTTTAAATTAAAGCTTAAAAAACCATATATTGTTAACAAATGTTATTTAGCCTTTAGCAGGCGCGTGACTTTTGGTCACACTCAAATACTGTGTGACTGGTGTACATTTCTTACCTGAATCACAATATGGCTAAATGTACATTTGTACCCCACGCGACCTGTGCCGGATTAATAAAAAATTGGGAAGTTATATCATTAAAATACTTTAATATAAAATTTAAACTACAAATCTTGGGTTTAAAAAAATCAAAGTTTGTAAATATTCTATTGTTTAAATGGCATAGCAATGAATTTCTATATACTCTAGATTTCTAAAAGACTAAATTTGTTGGACAATGAGTTGTCAGTTTTTTTTTTTTGTTTTTATTCTGTTGTTAAGAAACAGCTTAATACAAAATTTTACATGTAAAACTGGAAATAATGTATTTTTTGAGAAATTTAAACTATTTTAATTATTACCAATGTGCATGACAATTAATTTTTAAATGTTAAACGTAATAACTATTATTATTTTTTTTTTAGGAAGTGCAACAAACTTTAAAATCAACTACGTTTGATGTCAATACTCAAGAATGTTATTCCTATATTAATTATTTTTAAATTGAATGCAAATGTACATTAACTATACATAATGTGAAAATATATTTATAAATTGACCTAAAAAAATTGTTATACATTTTATTCTCTCTCAATGAGTCACAGAAAATATCATTAATTAGCAAATATAAAAATATTTGAAAAAAAACTAAAAATCACATTAAAATTAGTTACTAAATAATCAGTATTAAAATTAATACTGTTATTATGAATGTTCGTATTATAAGGTGTTATCAATATTATTTATTTATCTGTATAAATTATATTTAAAAAAATTAACACACCTCAATATCTGACAGTGTTTGTGTCCATTTGTAATTTGGTAAGTCACAACCGTTTCCTGCATTCGGTTTAAGTTTACCCTTTTCTTTTGGATCTTCGTCTTCTTCAATGAATTGAGACACGTCGTTATTGTCACCACTAGCAAGATTTGATGTATCCTCACTATTCTTCTGCTTTTTCTAATTAATATAAAATGTATTTATTAGTTTATAAATTATTTGTTTGTTACTTATTTGTTATTTAAATATACAAAGCAGCCTTAACCGTTTTTCCTATTAGCAAAATAAACTTATCCTGATTGATTAAACATACACATTTGATAGAAATTGTAAATAATCACTAAATCTATTAAACCATAATAAAAAATTATTTTCTATTACTGTCATTATTTTGTGGTTATTACTTATTACAAATATGATACAATGGTAATAATTATTTTTACAAATGTTTACTACAAATCAATTTTTCAACTTTAAATTATTGTGTAATTTGAGATTAAATGGTCAAATGTGAATAAAATATTTTAATAAGAGACAATTCAAAATAATATTTTAGTAATTTAATTGTAGAAAATATTAAAATATATAATATATTATTAAATACATCAAAATAACTGCAATCAGCATACAAAATGTGTTTTTAAACTTAAAATTATTTTGTTGCTAACATTAATACTACTAAGGAAAAGTAAAGTAAAATTCATAAGACAGTTAAATTTTCAAATATTAAGTTTTGAAAGTAAAAATATAATATATGTATTATTTTATGTACACTTTATAGATTTAAGTAAGTAACATTTACAATTAATTAATTTCAGTTTTTATTATATGTTTTTTCAAACATAAATGTTTATATGGCTTTTAGCATTAATAGCAGTTTAGGTAGGTAGGCACAATACCAAAACCACATCAAAGCTAAAAATAATGAATAATTTTTTTAATATGTATGTATAAATACTATCAAATTCATACAAAAGAGCATTTCCTATCTAGAATAGCATATTTAATCAATTAATGATGAGCAATTTTTTTTTTAATAGTCAAATAACTTAGCATAACATGTAATTCATAATGATTTTAGAATACTTTTTATTTTTATTGAAAACATTTTATGTGGTTAAAAATTTGATAAAACTATCATGTTTTATGAGTTACATACATAATAGTTTATCATATACTATTATCTTATATTTTACCATATCTAATTCTTTTTGCAGTTTCTCAGCTTCTTCATCAGTTAACTCCTGTAGCCTTGGTTTTGACTCTTGTTCTTTTTGTGCTTTTTGCAACCTTTTCAAGGCTTCTTCTTGGCGTTTTTTATCGGCTGCATGTTTTTCTTGGAGAGCATTATTACGGTGTTTATTAAATATTGCCATTAAAATCTGTACATAAATTTAATCAAGAATTAAAAATGGAAAAACTAAAACGACAAAATACTTACTCTTTCAGAAGCGTTTTCATCTGGACTCCCTGTAAAATAATCAGTCTTACGAGCCAAAAAGCTGAAAAATGTATCGAGCAACTGCAAATATTAATATATTAATTAGTTATCACAAAAACATAAAAATGTAAAACTTAAAAAATTATTTATTGAGGTCCGCTATGAAGACTAATTACCTTTCATTCTCTTTATAGATAATACATTATATGTGAGGCGGAAAGGGTAAAGAGACCTCATGTCTTCATCATATACCTAGGTATATAGTATACATAATCTTTGAGAGCGATTATCTCGAAATATGGTTTTTGAGTTAATATACTAATATTCTGATAATGGTATATTAGTTGTTGTTGTAACTTAGAAAGGGGGGTGAGATGAAAAATATTATGTTTCCTAATAAACTTAAAGTACTCTAGTTTTTAGCAGTAGCAAACAAAATATAAAATTTGAATTCAGCGAGCCAAAAATAAATAAATTAACCATTTTTTAAATATTTCTTGTAATAAATAAATAAATAAATGATAATCATTTGTCTGCAAATTTAGAATATAGAAATATAACAAATTATTTTAGCAAACGTTTTCAAGGTATATAAATGTATAAAGTTATTTATTATAACATTTTTAGGATAAAAAAATTATCCTAGCATAACATTATTCCTTCTAAGTTATAACGTTCTCAAGGGAAAAAGGTTATAATGTTATTTGTTATAACGTTCTCGAGGCAAAAAATTATAACGTTATATTTGTTATAACATTCTTTGTACATATTCTTATATTATGTTATGTTCTATGAACTTTATTTTTGTGAACAAAACAGTTTTGATTATAACATTGTGTTGTGTTACGTTATAGAAACCTGTTAAACATTTCATGCAAACTATGCATAATATGTAGAAAAATTTTGAAAATTAAAAATAAAGAAACTTTTATCATTGAAAATATCTCATCACAAGTATTGTTACAAATATACTATACATTAGAATACTAGCACAAAAAAGCTATATATATATGTATAAAAAAAAACCATAAGTTAAACTCTTAATCTACATTTTCACCATGACCAAATTAATTAAGTTGTAAATTTACTTGCTCAACGCCTTTCTCGTGTTGTTGAGCTAATGCTAATAGCATAGCATCAAACTTCTCTTCATTTTCGTTTGACATGACGTATTTTAAACACAACTCAATTTATCAAATGATATAAAATAACAAAATATTAATGAACGTATCAAATTGAAAAATAAGTTCTAACGGTTTTTAGTGCAGAAACAAATGTAAGCAACTTGGTAATTGAGTACGATTGTATCAACTTGGTCGAACAAAATGTATAATACAATTAACAAAATTAGTACTATAGGATTTCAAACAATGTGTAACTATGGTCTATGTGGTTTGGGAAAATATTGACAAAACGTGCAGTTACAAACCACCAAATTCACTTATCGTTATCGCCAATCGCTTATCAATGAACCAAGGTATGGACACGGAATTCTGGGCATTAGGTCATAGGTTCCCACGGTCATTAGGCTCCCAAATGATAACAAGTTACCACTTTGGTTATGATAGTTAATGCCGACGTCCCATATTACCCCGCCCTTTATGGTCCTTTTTTTTTTTGTTAGGTTATAAATTATAACCAAATTATTTCATTTCAAGAATAATACTATATAGGTGGCTAGAAAACTCTGATCGTTAGAATCTAATATGATGGCTTTCCCCAATTAAATGCAGTTTGTATTTAATCAATGCTCTACCATACAGCCGTATTATGCTATACCACAGAATTCCGACAAGCTGTCATATTTACTCAATGCATAGAATAACTGTTGTCACTTATCTGTTAGGCGCAATCATAGACCTATAAAGAAATTACACTATTATAGACCTATCTTTATAGGTCTATGAGCGCAATACAGCCAGGAACGACGTAGTGCGCATGCGCGACGATTGTCAGCGCTCACGGTACCGCCATAACTAAAAACAGTATAAAGCGCCCTTCAACGGCAACAATTTACATTTACGCAAAAAAAATTACATATCAGTGGCCTATCTATATTATTTATAAATTATAATCAATGCTACTAGCAAAGAATAACCTGAAAGGAAATTTAACAAAAAAATTACATGGGTTTACATATATATATATATAGTAGATTGCTAATTAAATACATAACAAATGTCTTCTAATAGTTAAGAAATCAAATAATAATTAATAATATAATAATTAAAATACAGAAAAAAAAAATAAAACATTAATAAAAAAAATTATCATGCGATTGTTATTTGTTCAGTAATATTAGACCATTCAAGTTGTGTCAGAGATCCCAAAACGATGTCCAGTTAATTGTTATAATTCGCAAGCATTTGCTAGTCAACTTATTCGCTAAATATGTTCAAAATCATATTAAAATACAATATACTTCAAATTTAATTTACAATATGTGTTTTAGAATTTGGAAGTCTACAAAATGTGTTTGCAAATTAAATAGTAATTTAATAATTAAAAAAATAATAATAACTAATGTTTTACAACTTGCAATTTTTTTTTCTAGATTAGGTACCTAAAACTTCATAGTAACTATTTTATATTTTAAGCATGAAACAATATTTTCTACTTTTTTGTTCATAGATATACATTTTAATTTATTACACGGGGACTAATAGTTGGTACTTATAAATAATAGATCAATAATTATTGACACAATTATGTCCCGTAAGGTACCTAATTGGAAGACGTCAATAAGGATGAATTAACAAACCAGACATATAAAAAAATGTTTTTTCAATTATTTTATTTTGAATTTAAATAGTAAGAATTTCACTGAGCAGAGCGACTTAGTACAATTATTTCGTCTGTAGTTAATTCCGGTCCCGTACAGCTGCATACAACTAAATTATTATTAATATTTATTTAAAATGAATTACATGTTTTGCTTACGGGTTACTCCGTATTAGGGATTGTATACTCGTTTCCAAACCACCTATGAGGTAGAGTATTTGGCTCGTTTTTTTTAATGTGGTATCTCCATCTACGATGATGCTCAAATTGTATTTACTGTACAACCACTGAAAATGTGTGGTAGGGGCATTTCAAGCAATTGTGGACTTACGCATAGATGTTGATCCGGGCATAACTTAAGACTAACTTAATGACTAACTTAAGACTAACTTAATGACTAACTTAAGACTAACTTAATGACTAAAATAACCCGGTATCGACAGACTGAGCGGCCACGCAACAGACAACGGTGGACTTACGCATCGAAGTCGATCCGGGTATAACTTAAGACTAACTTAATGACTAAAATATCCCGGTATCGACAGACTGGGCGGCCACGCAACAGACAATGGTGGACTTACGCATCGAAGTCGATCCGGACATAACTTAATGACTAACTTAAGACTAACTTAATGACTAAAATATCCCGGTATCGACAGACTGGGCGGCCACGCAACAGACAATGGTGGACTTACGCATCGAAGTCGATCCGGGCATAACTTAAGACTAACTTAAGACTAACTTAATGACTAAAATATCCCGGTATCGACAGGCTTTGCGTAGTTATAAGAGAGTACGAAGGAGGTTATCCAGTAGGATCACGGGATAGATATTGGTAATTTGATTTACAAAAAAATCTTGTTGGTATACAAAATGTTGTGACTTGATTAACTGGACGCAAATTTTAAAGTAAGTAATTAATTTTTACTGAGCAGAAAATGTGAGAGGTTTATGAACTATAACGAGAACGACCACAACGCGAAAGTGAGAAGTTACAGACGAAAAAAATTGTTAAAGTATAAAAGTTCAATTATCTGAAATGACATAATAGTGCTAAAATGTGTAAATTTACTTAAAAAAATAAATTATAATTGTGCGGTTTTCCAAAATAATTTATAAAGGGAGAATTGTGAGTAAAATGGCATCATCGTACATAGACCTAATCCACACAGTACTTGACTTAGTAGAGGGGAGGGGAGGTAACTCAATTGTTTAGATATTTTAGCGTAAGTACCTACCAGGTATCTTTATTTTACTTCCAAGTGAGACCAGAATATATTACTCAGAAATGTATTGATTTAGTTGAAAAAAATATTTCCAATAATTGCACTCCATTTTTATAAATTCGTCTGAGGAATACATTACTTATACTAAATCAAGCACTAGAAAAAGGTCTAGAATTAACAAACCAGTCATATAAAAAAAATATTTTTTAAATTATTTTATTTTGAATTTAATATGTAAGAATTTTACTGAGCAGAGAAACTTAAGTACAATTATTTCGTCTGTAGTTAATTCCGGACCCTTACAGCTGTATACAATTCAATTGTTATTAATATTTAAAATAAATTACTACATATTTTGCTTACAGGTTACTTCGTATTATTTATACTTATTAGGAAATTTATGATCGACCGCCACGTGTAAAAAATTGCACTTGAATCTAAAAAAAAAAAAAATAACATAATATTAGTAAATAGTATTTAGTAATAATTGGATTTGGACTTTAGATTTGGTATCTAAATTATTATATATTAAGAGATTTCTACACAGCATGCTGCGTTTTTGCATTACCTACTCTGAAGCCCAAATGTGAAATCGCTCTGTTAGACTCTCAAATGCTTAAATTAATTCACCAACTTTTAAAATTCCAAGTGTTCTTACAAAAGTTTTCTTTTTTTTTTGAAACAGTTATTATAAATAACAATGAGAAAGAAGAATATATTGCTGTACTATGTTACATAATATAATAACTGTATGTGTTCGAAATACCTACCATCAAGTCTCCAGGCGAAACCCCTTTTGAGTTTTTGGTCGCCTTCGGACTTTTTTTTGAAATAGCTTGAAGTTACTTCCAACATTATGGTAGAACATGACAGTAATGTTTAAGTCGTTCGAAAAAGTAATTGTTTTAACGTAAAATATATCTGCAGAACGCTTCGACACAATGCATGTTGTTCGCTGAAAATATTAAAATCTAAGTATTGACTTTTAATATACTACCAATATACAATTGCTACGTCTTGTTATTCAAACAACAAGCAGAAGTTAACATAGAAACGAATTGTTTTCAGCAGTTAAAAACTCACATAGAGTCAGCAAAGGTTTGCAAATTTTGTGTTCAAGGAGATTCTATATTATATTATATTATATATAATAAAGGATCTCTTTGAACACAAAATTTGCTTTACATTATTAATATTAATTTAGCATAGATTGAATTAATTGACAGAGTAATTGTAGTTGATAAAAGGGTGTATATAGTAGCTCGTCCAGTATGCACATGCGTTTTATTCAAACAATTATTTATTATAAAAATAATCTTAATCAAAATAAACTTGATCAAATGAAAGATGCAAGACTTAATTAATTAAATATTAATGAAAATGGTTTGGAAATATTTTTAAATAATATGACATGTCATTGTTACTTTTTTTGACATTACACTGGTGCAGACGAAGCAACGCCTTAATTGGTGAACAAAAATAAATTATGTTTTTAATCTTAAATCATATTATTTCTATAATTATTAGGATATAGAAATGTGGTTTTACATTTTTTTTAATGCAGTTTGAGAAGTATAGTTTAGAGGGACGGATAGTCCCTATTTTATTTCCTTAGTTAAGAACAATATTTCTGTACATTTTTAGCTGATAAACGATGTATAAAAGCTCTAATACTTATGATATCGTGCTATAATCATTGTACTACTACCTTTAGTATTACACTGTCTCTTGTACGCGTAATGTGACCACTAGGATGTGATTATTAGGTGACTGTTGGTTCATTATTTAATTTTTTTTTTTTATATGTCTGTAATAAAATATTTTATATGCAACTCAACTGAAGGCAATTTCGTTGAGGTCAAAGAAAAAGGCCTAGCGAGTTTATTGAAAGCTAGCCAAATGCGTAACGATAATAAATTTGATAACATAAATTGTTCTGTTATTATGGTACATATTGAATCCAGTTCTGGCAAAATAGAAAAAAAAATGATTAGTACTAAATTTTTACTAACTAACAATAAAACGATAAAATATTGTTTTATCACGCACTAACTGGCTATGATTTAACATCTCCTCTGTTTCAGAAAGGAAAAAAAATGTATTAGATTATTAGGAAATTAAAAAGAATTAAGTACTATTATTTCCGTGTACAATAATCCCTTTTCTTCGCACAATGAAATAGCAAAATATGGAATTAAAAGTTTTCTATCTATCTATATATGGAGCACCACAGAACGACATATCTATAAACAAACATAGATATAATACTTTCATAAAATGCGGTACAAAAAATAAAATAATTTGGCGTCACTTCCTCCTACTGATGAAGCAATTACTTAGCATTCTTATAGAGTGTATTTTCAAGTTCAACTATGGTTAGGGAATATAAAAAATCCAGAACAAAAAAAAGAGATATATGTATAATGGCACGCACAGTTTTTAAATAATATATTTTCTCCCCTAACACGAATACGGCAACAACATTTACTAACACACACCCGGGCAGACGGATTTCACCTTATTAATATAAAAATAATTCGAACATGCTATTTAGCATAATGCATAAATACTTTTATTAATAAAATAAAACTACAGAACATTTTTTTTTTATTGACTTACAAAATCTTAGTAAAATTAATATCTAAATTATTAACATTTTTTTTCGTTCATATGACGCTCAATTTAAAACATAATACATCACGAATATCAAATGCAGATAATTTTATTTATTAAGGGAACTTTTAAAAATACTTTTAACTTCATTAATAGTTCTTAACGTCTTTGAAAAAATAAATTGATCAGTATTGATACAATTAGCATTATAGATTAATAATAATATTTACATCCAATAAAAATACACATGAAATACAAAAATAATGATTTTTTTTTAGGCAATTTAAATTAAATTAAAATATTACACATTACATTTATTAAAAATATTAGTTTCTTAGTAGATTACAAGTCTTTCTAATTTAAATAAAAATTAAGTCAAGGACACCTATCCGATTGTATACTATAAGCTTTTTACAAAATGAGGGAGAAAATATCTTGTAAGATTTAAAATATATAAAATGTTTAATATAGACAAAATAAAAGTGTATAAATATAAATGATGTTATTTAATTCATGATTTTTTACTTTAAAAAAGTACAAGATTCTTATATAAACTTAAACAATATAGTACTATGTCAAGGTCAAGCTTAAGTTAAAAGTAAAAATACTCATAAATAGTCTTATGCACAAATCAAATAAAAAAGGATGCAATTGTATTTTATAAATTATCCTTGTTGCGGTTGAATGATGTTAAACCAATGTTTTTGATCTTCTCCGTCCTCATCTTGTATTTGTATCTGTACAATTTGTACATTTTCACCGTTAATGGTGGCGTGTTCAAATGCAGCTGCATCACTCTCATTCAGTGTAATGTGACGAGTAGCTGGTACTATTAATTGTCGGTGTTCTTGGCCACCAACACTGACTGTTACCGTTTCCATATGGCTAACATCCACAACTTCAGTATCGTCGTTGTGATCCATGTTTAACATAGTGTGTACGTCTCCATGTTGATCAGTGGTTGTATACTGAATCTGAAAAAAATAGTTAAAACAATAACAGAAAATGTATGAACAAGCTATATATTTTTATCTAATATAATAAAAGTTTATTACTTGGTATTTGTTGTCAACTAGTATTTGTTCGACAGTATTTAAGTCGTTGCTCAAATCTTCTTGTTTGTTGGGTAGTAACATGTGTTCTTTCAATCCTCCCGCAAACATTTTTCTTTCTTCCTCAGTCATATCACGCTAAAATAAAAACATTTATTTTAACACAGTTATACATATTTTGTAAATTGGTAAATTATTACAGTCAAATATATAATATTTAGAATAAAATGTGATGTTTACCAATGCTGTTTGGTTCCCGTCTGCGTCTACGACCATTGCCATTTCCAATTCAGAATCTGTGCCAGCTATTTGGATATCTTCTTGAATTTCTTGTATTGTCACTGGACTAGATGCTAATCGAGGCTGATTTACAACAATGGTATCATTCAAATGACCGGCCTGAGTCATGTGGTTATATAGCAACGGTTTTCTCATAAACCCGGCACCACACACTAAACATTCATATGGTTTTTTGTCGCTATGTACAAAACGATGAGCGTTTCTGTTATCTCTGCTATTAAAAGCTTTCCCACAGACCTAGTACAAAATGAATAAATAAAAATAAATCCAGACCTACAATTTAAAAAAAAAATTTTTTTATTAAAATAAAAATTATATACTTCGCATAAATATGGTTTTTCACCAGTGTGAATACGAGCGTGCTTTTTAAAATGTTCGGGATAAATGAATGATGCTTGACAAACTTCACACTTAAAAGGTCGTTCACCCGTATGTGCAGCTTTCATATGATAGTCTAATAAACGACGTCTCTTGAATCCCTTGCCACAATCGGTGCATTTATAACGTTTGTCGTCATAGTGAGTAGCACGTTTATGAGATTGCAAGTTGCTTCGTTGGCTAAATGCATAAAACAACCAAAAGTTTAAGTTAGTTGTTTAAATTAATTAATATAGTGTCAAAAGATTGTACCTGAACGTAGCACCACAAAACTCACACTGGTACGGTTTTTCTCCAGTGTGTATACGTTCGTGATCTCTGATCTCAGCCTTTCTAGCAAAAGCTTTACCACACATCCGACATATAAATGGCTTATAACCGGTGTGCACAACATAGTGAACTTCTAAGTTACGAGCAGTACCAAAAGCTTTACCGCATTTTTGACACACATAGTTTTTAAGCCCGGAATGCGTTCTCTCATGATGGATGAGATTCTGTTCAGTAAGAAAGGCTTTACCGCAGTTGATGCAAGTAAAATTACGTTCACGATTTGTGTGCACTTTTTCATGTGCTTTAAATGTATATTTTGAAGTAAAGTCTTTGCCGCATATTTCACAACGGTATGGACGGACACCAGTGTGTGTATTATTGTGTTCTTCTAATGTGTTCCGTGATCTATTAAAAAATATATACATATATATGACATATAATTCTCCAATTCTACACTTTTATCCAACATAAATGTTATTTAATACTTACGCAAATTGCCGTCCACATGTTTCACACGTATGATTTTTAGATTGTGGCATATGCATTTTTTTGTGCACCCTAAACATGCGTACATTGTTAAAAACTCTGCTGCAAATATCACAAACGAAATTGCCGTCCTCGCTATTGGCATGATTTTCTAAATGTGTCATCAATTCTGGTCTGCAAATAAAATCAGTTAAATAATTTAATTATGACATCTAAATTAAGAACAATTTTATTTTGTAACTAATAGAGGAAAAAAGTTGTATACATATACATATTATTTAATAATTTATGATTCTATTGTTGAACATTAATTATTTACATTTAGGTAGTTCAATAACAAGGAAGTAGCATTTTATTTACTTATTATACAAATAAAAAACTAAAGCTAAACTGTTAGAAGCAAAGGCAATAATACAATAAGAAAAAATAACATTAAATTTTTTATGTATTCTGATGAACCATGTTTTGCACAAAAGTGGCAACAGATTCTGTGAATAAAACTTCTCAGATATTTTATATTAACAGCCAAAAAGGAAACTATTTTAGGTTTATTACATTTCTTAATTTTGTTATACCTTTTTAAAAATTCTTGTCCACAAATATCACAAATAAAAAGTTTTATTTGATGCACATTTTTAGCGTGAAGAACAATGCCTCTAGCATCTGATGTGAATTTATTTTCTACGCTACACAACAAGCATGTGTAAACTTCACCGTCATGATGAACCAACTAAAATACAAAAAAAAAAACAACTCAATAAGTATAATTTATGTAATTTTACAATTTATTAAATGAAAAATTATTTTATCAGATCATACCATTTGTGGTATAAGAATTTCTGGAGCTTTTTTTTTCATAGCATTTTTAGATACTTTTGGTTTTTTGGGGCTACTTGTTCCACTATTTTTCCCTTCTCCACTTTCTTCATAATCTGAATCATCTTCATCTAGCAATGTACTGTCATCTAATTCTTCATCTTCAAGATTTTCTAATTCTGGATGAACTGCTTCTTGTTTAATATCGCTAGGTGGAATCAATTTTTCAGAATGATTTTCTTCAATGCCATTGGTTACAGATTCTTCATTGTCTTTATCATCGTCTTCTAACATTTCGATTAAATTCTCTACTGATGAAGTTTTTTGTTTCTCCAAATTTGTATTTATAATGTCTTCTTGAACGGATTCAGCATTTGCTACTGATGTATCCACGGGCTCTTCTTTTATTTTAGGACGTCTCCCACGTTTCTTAACTGGTTTAGGAGTATCTGCTTCTTGTTCAACATCAATAGTTTCAATTGTATGGACATCCATACCTTCTGATTTACTCCTAAAACAAGAAATACGAGTTAAAAGATTAAATAAACTCAAATATATTATTCAAATACATTACTTGAGAGTACGCTGATACTGTGTAGTTAGCTCCAACTTGATATCTGCTAATCTATCTTCAAGATCATCCACTTCATTTAGAGATTTAAAACACCGACGACACACAACAATGGAGTGGACATCTTCAGAAGATAGAGTTATTCCTAAAACGCCATCTATCACTTTAACAACAGTACGGTCTGATGACGTTACCCGGTGTTGAAATATCGAAATAGCATTTCGAGCTGATACTCCAGTACTGCCATCACAAATCAAACATGTATTGGACGTAGCAGTTGATGACCTTTCTTGGTCTGGATCGGCAGCCATTTCAACTTCAAATAGTTAGTTTAACTATTTAAAAATAAAACACATTTCTTAAATTATTTGGAATAAATTATATTTTTAAATAATAGATATCAATTTGTTAACTACAAAATAATTATAAATCTTGTTAGGACTTATCTTGTCATGGTTATTTAGATATAGTTAAAAATAAGTAGCATTGTAATTTGTAATACTACGTGAAAGTATGAATGGGACTGGACTGGAGAGTAGGTAAACAAATGCTATTTTTTTTAAATTTTGATGTTGCCATTGAATTAGCCACTGGACCAGGGACTGTATCATATGTCATTTGAAACAGTGATTTGAGTAGTGTGCATAGACAAAATTTTAGTTTAGAATTAAGAATGTTACCTAACCACATTTCTTACTTGGCCCTTAGTAATTATCATATCTAAATACCAGATGGCAAACAATATAAGCTGAAAATCACTCCAGCCTTTATAAACTCCCAGGCATAATAATTATATTCTATACATAAAAGTAGGCACTAAACAGCAAATCATGTTCTAGACTTCAACTTTGATTAAAAAGAATTCAATCCAAGAGGTTTCTGATAGTGAAAAGTATAATTTATTATTATTTAATTCATTACTTAACAAAGCAGGATTGTGTTATAATTTGTTAACGATATAATTGGAGATATGAATTGAAGAGTAAAGTTTAAAAGGGAAATAAAGTAAGAGAATTTAAATTTGAAAAATATAGGTAGGAGTAACAATTTTATATAATATATTCTTTATTACATTATTTCGTTAAAAATACAAATTTTCAAGGAGTGTCTAAGAAATATATATATAAAGCAATTATTTCATCATAGGAAGCTAAGCTGCTAATGTTCTTTATTAAATAAAACCAACAAATGTATGGAAAATTGCAAAATAAATTTATTTGAATTATAGTAAATGTAAAAATGCTAATGACTCCTTTTTAAATTCGGAATTGGCATTGATGACTATCGAAACACACATCAATACGTTTTGTTTACACTCCATCCAAATGAGATTGTGCCAAAACTAAGGACGTTATTAACCCCTTCCTCTTTCATATACATCACACGCACGGTTTACTATCCATGAATTACATGTAATAACAAACAATTAAAACAATACCAAACAGGCATTTTAAGGAAAAAAGTATTATATTTGATTAAGCCTTCGCGAAATAAATAAAAAAACTTGGTTAAAAAAATCTGAAATATTGTTTTGGTTTAATTTAAAATAAAACCTTGTTGCTTGTACTTGAAAACATGAAGGAAACAACATTTACTTGGTTAGTTGTTTTTTTAATGAAATAATATCGAGGGAACTTCTCGATAAAGGATATTGTTATAATAAATTCGAACATTCAGTTATGTTAGCAGGAATCGGATATTATAAATCTAACAATAAATTATAGTTAGACAACAAGTTGCTATACAACATTCTATCGTGAACCGACAATAGTCAGAAGTCCCCACGATATTCTTATGGCGTTTGCATAGATAAATGCAACGGGCTCGGTTTACAGCTTCGGCGTAGAAAATCTTCCGGATGAAACCGAAACGGTCAACCGGTTGCGACAAAGAAGTCGGCGGAAAGCTACAGCTACGGACGGCCAAAACCACCGGAGACCACCGAAAAATGGACAACCTGTATTCTTCAAACCAAAGTTGCCAATATGAAAAAATATTCCCTACAGCATTGTCGTCCCAGTGTTGGCCGCCGTATGACCCCATACCAACCAAAATGCAAGCGGTCTACGATAACGTGTTGCCGACAAAAATGTGTACTCACCTCTATCGTGGTCGCGACGGCGATGTAAACACAGGAAGTAAAATAAAATCGTCCAACTTTCACGGCAAACCTAACGACATTAATACCGAACAATACTACAGGCGGTCGGCCATTTTAGGTTCGGTTTTATGCGGTTGCTGGCTGGCGGCGATCCGTTTGCCGCCGTCGCCGTTATTGTGCGTTTGTGCGCTCCCGGGTTGGGCGGAGCGCGGGGCCACAACAACAGCACCGCCGTTGTGATAACACAATACCGTGATAACGGTGTTTTCACTGTTCCATGAAATGCGAGGAAATTTGTTTGCACGTTCGTAAAATTCACTGCCTGGATTTAGACTTCCGCGTAGATATTTGCCGACAACAATACCCGAAATAGTGCAATACCTCTGTCGGATGCATGCAGTCTTTTTTCAAGCACTTGGCCGTACCGTTTTGTCGCCATCACACATCCAGGTACGTCCACATCGGCGCTCGATCACATGCATTCCAATACAGTGTACTATTTCAATCGGGTGTCTTTCAAATTCAGCGGCCGTGCCTCGACGATAGTATGTCGCGATAAGTGCCCATTTAGGTGGTCTAGCGACAAAACTTTACAACCCTATACCCGCCCAATCGTTTGCCTGGTCAGTTGGTGATTTTGTGCTTCGACGCAGGCTATAACTGACAAAGGCTTTGTCAGAAATTCTTCGTGTGTACACTGATGAAAAACTTTTCAAAATTCCATCATTATTTTGTACAGTTTATCATTTTGGGCATTAATTACTAGACACTAAAAAAACACTGTTAACTGGGTATCAATAAACTTCCAAGATAGCTTATTAAGTTTGAACTTTCACAACAATAATTGTTTGATCCATTGACAAGTGTATTTTCATTATATTTGGAGTAGAATATTACAAATAATTACCAAGCTAAATATATTTGTTCTTTTCTGATATGACTATGTATAAATATTTAAACTAATTTTTTTTTTGAAATTGAAATTGTTTAAACTTTTATATCTAGAAATTACATATTTTGAGATTCACATTTTGATAATGAGTTTATTTTTCATTAACTAATTAGATAATGTATGTAATTTTTCAGATTTCACACAAAATAAACTTAGAATTATGTCTGGCACTGTAAACTTCATGGTCAAAGATCCTTGTGGAAATTCTCAAGTGATTCATTTGCCAACTGGTAATCGTATAGTTGTAAATGGGGGTTATGGCACTACACCTGCTCTAAAAGATCTTCTTGAAAAAAAACAACAGAAACCAATAAGGAAAATTGTACGAATGGCTGAATCCAAAGAAAATAATACAGAAATCATCACAGTATCACCAGATTTCTTTGACGATAGTTCATCAGAAGTTAAAAATGAAATTATGTCGGATTTTAGTGATGATTATTTAGAAGTCCATAATGAGTACAAAGAAGATCCTGAAGTAATAGTAGTGTGTGGTGATGACTTAAATCAGACGAGTGATAGTGATTTGGAATTCATGGAAGATACTAAAGAAACTGGAGATCCCATGAAAACTAAATTCCATAATGATATTAACTCGTCAGATGTTGTAGTACGAACAGATATTTTGAATGATCTGTTAGAAGGTCGTGTGACTAAAACTACAAAAAAACTTTTGGAGTCTACTAAGATTTCTTACCTTCCTATGCAATTGACTCAAAGTGATTTCCGCTCTACATATTCTAATGATAAAAGTCCATTTAAAGTTAGACCTATTAAAGCCAACAAAGGCTTAAGACATTTTTCCAAAAGAGTGTGTGATAAAGTAAAAACAAAAATGGTCACAACTTATAAAGAAGTAGCTGATGAATTAGTAGCTGAATGTGTAGGTAACACTGACAGTCCAACATTTTTATATGATCAAAAAAACATAAGACGTCGTGTGTATGATGCCTTAAATGTATTAATGGCTTTGGACATTATAACAAAGAACAAAAAAGATATAACCTGGAAAGGCTTACCGAGTGGATCTTTACAAAATAGTGTTTATCTTGTTCAAGAAAAAGAAAACCGTCTTAATAGTGTAAAAAGAAAACTTTTAGCATTGCAAGAAATAATCATGCAAGAAGTTGCTATCAAACGATTAGTTCAACGAAACCAAAATATGGAAAACGAATTTGGGCCACCTCCAAGTAATACATACGTTAATCTCCCTTTTATGGCGATAAGCTCAAATGAAGATACGAATGTAGAAGTAGAAATCTCAGAAGATCAGAAACAGTACGAGTTGAGTTTTAATGACAAGTTCAGTGTAGTTGACGACACAGAGTTATTAAAGTCAATGGGATTTACTTTAGGATTAGATCAAGGTCAAGTAAACGATGACGATTTAAATACTTTAAAAAAATTAGTACCTCAGGCCTTTGAAAAACATATAGTTATGATGGCGACCAAAAATGGAGAGATGTTTAATGATATTTGTAAAGAGTTTGATGAAAAGATGAAATCGGCTGAAATTGAACAGTCTTCTTTACGACCTAACATTATCAGTAGAAGAAGAAGTAAAAGATTATGAATATCATTTAAAATATTTTTACCTATATTGTTATTGTTACAACAATTGTACAAAAGTTCTCGATAACTATTTTTCATGTTTATAGTTTAAGTTTGTACATCTTTGTAAATACTTAACAAAATGTTAATTAGTTGTAATAATTTGTTTTAGTTCTACTTCAAACAAATAACAAAGAGTGTTAAATAAAATTAAAAAGAAGTATGACTATGATTCTAGATATCTTATTTATGATACTTCTCAACCATAAGTATCTATTTGGTCCAGAATTCTTTCTTAGGTTAAAGTCCAATGTTGTAATACTTCTTGAGAACTGCCACAGTATTTGTAAGTTATCCTATTCTCAAAGATGTTATCATCATTACTATAATATCAAACTTCCATTTATGCCGAGTTCCTCGCCCTCTTAAAAATGTCCATCTCGTGTTAACTTATCAGGATCAGTAGATAGTTTGAGCGACCCACTTGCCTCATTATTTTAGCAACATAGTTAGCCAAATTGTAGGATGTTAAAAGATTGGACTATCATTTGTAAGCATAATATGTAATTATATCTAGAGCTGTACAATAGCATTTTTTTCCGATCTATTGTGAAATTATGTACCTAGTTTATAGTCCAAAAATCAGCTAAATAATTTTTTATATATTATACTTATCAATTAAGTTATTGATTTTTCAGTTATTTGAATTGCTAAAAGTAAAGCCTCCAAAAGTCGATTAGTATTAATTATTTACAAATCTATTTCGGATGCAATTCTAGGTAATGGACAATCATAATATAATTGGGTAATTGACCATACTTCAACTATACTTGGTTAGTTTTGGATTAAGGGAAGTTTTGATAGATTTTTTTACTCGAGGAATTAATCAAAATGGTTGATCTATATAAAGTTTGATAAATTAAAAAAAAATCACAATCCTAATTATATAAATTTACTAATCAAAATTATTTTTATATGACCATAATATTTAACTTTAGATTTTACCAAAATACATAAAATATTTTTTATCATAATTTTAATAATTTAATATATTGTATAATGTACTTAAGCATGCCCCACTTATTTTAGACAAATTGTGCTCCTGAAGGTTGTACTTATATGGGGACAAACTACCTCTGTTAGGGTATCTGCAAGAATTAAACTAAGTACAGCTGTCTCACAAGATGAAAAAGTGTATTTACAAGGCTCAAGTATTCCAAAGTATTCACATAGTATAATATATTAACAAACAATAAGACTTGCTTAACAGCTAAAGTTTTAAATAAAACTAAATACTATAATTCATCATTGGATTAACTATTAAATTGTACACCTTTTTCTTCTAATATTTGTTTTTGAATATCTAGAGCTTTATCTTTAAACTTTTGAGCTAGTTCTAAATCAACGGGTACCCCGTCTCCTTTTTTATAGGCTACCGATGCATTAACACACGCTCTAATGTCATTATGTTCACAAGCTTTTTCCGAAAACTCTAAAAATTTGATTTTATTAGGCTTCAGGCCAATTTCGTCATAACCATTGTAATGAATTGTGCTGGCTACATAACATGCCTCCGCATGACGGTTATTGCATGCTTTTTCCAAATATTGAAGACCCTAAAACAATAACCATTTTTGCTATGACTTTTTTGGTGTGATAAAGAAAATTAAATATTGTGAAATATTAAAATATACATTGGCTGTTGAAAAAATCACAATAGCAAAAAAATTATTCACCACTGTATTTTCAACTATAAATCTAACAACTTACCTCTAGTATGCTCTTTGTTCTTTCTTCTATATTTGGAATAAGGTTGCTATGGTAATTTAATTTCATACCAGCGGCAAAACAACCATCTGACCAATTATGATCACAGCCTTTTTTTAGATATTTGATCATCTAAAATACAATTTTTTTTATTAATTCGGATTAATTGCTGGACAGTAATCATTCATATAATATATTTGTAAAAAAGAAAAAATTACAATTATAGTATTTACAACAGATATGTGAAGGCCTTGAATACTAGATTTAAAAAAAATGTGTTAATGGAAAATAAAAGAATATACCTAATTTTATTTTTAAATATTCAAACAATTTTAACTTGGTTACTATATAAAAGTATTTTCAATTCTAAGTTTTGATTTAGTGTAATTTAAATAACAGAAATTGTATTTAAATAATATTATTAAAACTCAAATGAATTAGGATTCAGGTTAAATGTTTTTTCTCACTCTACAGGACTACATAATTACATAATTGCTTTTATAACAAAATATCAACTATTCGAACTATAGTTTAGTAAATAATAGCTATCATTATTTCAAGTCTTATAAATAACTTTATTAATAACATTATTATATTAGATTATTGATTATATACTTCAGGCAGAACTGGTTTTAAATTTTTCAAATTTGTTTTCTCCAAATATGAAGCATATTTATAACAGCTACGACCAAAATGCCGTTCATCACAATTTTGTTTATAAATTTTGGCGGCTTTGTCTGGATTATTTTCGATAGCTTCTAGATAGTCTCCAAGCAATTGACATACTATTTTATAACAAAGAGATCACAATTATGTTAAAAAATATATATAGCTGGTAATTTCACAAATAAATGTACTTTGAGGATCCTTTTCACTAAAGCAACCAAACCTGTATTCAATTCCTATATTCTTTATATATTCTTTCACATCTTCTTCTTTTTTAAAATTGTAAGACATTTTAAAATAAGCTAAAAATACCTATATCGTAAAAATGTTTTATACAATTTAAAAATTGACAGAACGAAAGTTTCTGAAGTTTTTCGAACTGAAGGTGTAAAAAATAAAAATAATTATTTGATTAGTTTTTAAAATTTTATAATCAATGGTTTTATCAATGGATTTGAAAAAAAAAATGGTTTTATGTTACTTTTAAAGGATATAACTATAAAAAAAAAGTACTACCGCTGTTATCTATTCAAGTTGGCGCACGAAGCCTTATCAATTGATCATGTGTAGATTATAGCGACCACGGTTATAACCATGATTGGCCCTAACCTAAAAAGAAAAATTATTAGTTAAATGTTTTTATCATTAAAACCACCAATATACTTTATCAGTTATAACTAAACATTATCATCATAAGTCATACCACACTCCACAGTCACTCCACTTTTGACTCTACTTCTCACTAATTAGCTTCATCACGTGATGGGCTCTTTAACTCTTGAATCTCGATTATGGTTCAATTATTCAAATTTCATTGTGCTTTAATTTGGATGAACCAACTTTGTCATAACATTTAACTCTCAAATCAAATTTATTGAAAATGACTGGTGAGTATTGATTTGGATTATCATATTACACTTTTTCGTAAATAGACAAAATATTAAACTTTAAATTCATAATGGAAATCTCCAATGTTCAAATAATAATTTCTTAGCTCTGTCAGCTACCCCCCAAGTTTATTTTATCCTTTGTTGCCAGAAACTCCCGGTCACACCATGGTAGCGAAGAAGAAAGATTGCATGTTCAACACGATCAATGAATGTGAAGTGGAAGACATTACTCTTGAATTTTTCTACAAGCCTCATACTATTACTCTTTTAATATTATCTATTGCTGCTGTTTTAGTAATATGTTTCATTCGGGATGATAACTCTATAGATGATAATATTTGGGCAGGTATTTGGTGTGTGATATTTTTCTTGCTCATCGTATCATTGTTGGCATTTCCTAATGGACCTTTTGTAAGACCACATCCAGCAGTCTGGCGTATGGTATTTGGATTAAGTGTACTTTACTCACTAACATTACTTTTTTTACTGTTTCAAAAATATGAAACAATCAAAGGAATGATATTATGGCTTGACCCAAATTTAAAAGACTTTCGAATTGATATGGACAAGGAATATGGCGTAAACTGTTCTGATATAAATGTCGAGAAATTTTGGGCACACTTGGATGTTTTTGCTGGTGCTCATTTTTTTGGATGGGTTTGCAAAGCAATCCTAGTTAGACACTATGGAATCTTATGGTCAATGAGTATAATGTGGGAAATAACAGAAGTGACATTCTCTCATTTGTTACCTAATTTTAAAGAATGCTGGTGGGACGCCTGGGTATTGGATGTACTACTTTGCAATGGCATTGGCATATGGGTTGGCATGAGAATATGTAAAATGTTAGAAATGAGAAATTACAATTGGCCTGGTATTAAAGAAATTGATTCAACTGGTGGTAAAATCAAACGAGCAGCACTGCAATTCACACCAGCCAGTTGGACGCCTGTACGATGGCTTGATCCAAGTTCATCTTATATGCGAATTTTTGCAGTTTGTCAAATGGTTATAATGTGGCAAGTTTCTGAACTGAATACATTTTTCTTAAAGCACTTATTTGAAATGCCACCTTCACATCCCATTGTCGGTTTCAGACTTCTGTTTTTAAGCATTGTTGTTGCTCCATCTACACGACAATATTATACATATGTAACTGATCCTAATTGCAAAAGACTTGGGACACAATGTTGGGTCTATACAGTCATAATGATAACTGAACTATTATTGTGTATAAAAAATGGAAAAGAGTTATTTCAACAAACTGAAATTATAAACATTTCTCTATGGTTTGTGATCATGTTATTTTTCTCCGTTATAAGTGTATTGGGTTTCTGGCAGGCAGATTGGCTGACGGGAAAAAAATTGGATTCTGAAACAGTACAGACTGCAACTATAGATGATAATAATTGCGAAGATCAACATATAGCCACCAAGAGCAAATCTGATTAAATATATACCATGTAAAAAATTGTTTGCCTACTAGAGTTACTTAGTGGAAGCCAAATAGTGCACAAATATGTTTAATAACATATTAAAATACCTTTAACTATAAATTATTTGACTATCCTTTCTTGAAAATAATTATTAAGGCAATATTTATTTTTGGGACTTAGAATTATTATTCCTTTAGAACTAGTGTACATTATTATTATACAGTATACTGTTATTAGTTATTTAATAATGTATAGATAAAAGACTTTTATTTAAACCTAGTCACCTTAATGTATTCATTATGATTTAAAATAATAATATTCTCTTAAACATGTTTCAGAGTTGGATACATTATGAATCTTTATTGTGATATAAGTTATAAATGATTAAATAATTAAATTTGTTGTGTTGACCACACAATTGAAACAAATTACCATTAATTGTCAATACCAAAAATTATTGTTTTATTTCTTTAATATTTAAAACATAATTGTATTGTTTACATAATGATCTTATAAGTATAATACAGGTACATTAGTACCTCAAAACTGTGCGTATCTCGCATGTTCAAATTAGGTTATTATTAAATATAATATAATATGTACTATTCTGTAAATTTAAATCATTATTACGAATACATTAAACTAAACTACAAAATTCATTTAAAGTTATCTGTTTTTATTTTTTTGACAATGATTATGGAAGAAAATGATTATGTTTTTTTAGACTTATATTATATTCGATCCAGTGGTTTTTTAACTACTCAAGTATTATGTAAAATGTTATGCAAACAAGTAGTTCAAACACAAGAAAACAATTAATTAAAAACCACTATTATAAAACCAATACCTTTCAGCTCCTCATCAGAGCTAAATTTTGACAAATAAATTAAAAAACCATAAAACTGATATTGATGATTTCCTCGTTTTCGTATTAAAGAAAAAAATATAAATGCCGTTATATAGAATTATGCCTGTTTTATTTTTACATATGGACATTTTTTACACAACTTTGTTCAAACATTGTTCATAATTTACATTGTATAAATATTTATATTTCAAAGTTAAATATACAGCCAATCCTTCTGTTTAAGTTTCGAGTTCTGTCATAGCTTTTTTTAGCCAATCTACATAATAAGATACTCTCGTATAGACACCCGGCCTATTTTTTTTGCCACATCCATCACCCCAAGATACAACGCCTGTCAATACAAACCGCCCTAAAAACAAAAATAATTTCTAGAGGTTTTAATGGAAAGTCATTTTTCTACTCACCATTAACTTGACAAGCCAGTGGTCCTCCTGAGTCACCTCCGCAAGCATCCACTCCGCCTTCCAGGCTACCAGCACATAACATGCTATCTAATATGAACTGATGTCGACCTCCATAAATGTCTTCGTGTCGGCATGTTTCTAGATCAAGTAATGGCACAGATGCTGCTTGTAACACTTTAGGCAAACTAGTAGTGTCATCCTCTAAAAAAAAAAAAAGTATTTAAGCAAAGAGGTGTTTTTCTTTAGAAAAACAGTTATATTATTTGAAAAATATAGTACAAATGTTGAGCTTAAGCCAATTACCCAGTTAAACTTGTTGCCAAATCTTGACAGAAAATTAAATTGTAACTACGCTTTTATAATAGAAGAAGGTATCGACTCACGTTTTTGTGCACCCCAGCCCGTTACTGTGCACCAGTCGGCTTCATTTGATTTTGTATAATGTTCGGGTAAACATATTGGTTTTATGTACGAGTCAAATCTCACTCCTTGCCTGTTAGCCGAGTACAATTTCAAAATCGCTATGTCGTGGCTGTGTGGTCCATCTATAGTTAATGTAATTTAAAACCACAGTAATTAAAAGTCTTGTCTAATCATAAAAATGTTTGTATGAAAAAGTGTGTAGGTAAAAAAAAACAAGTTTAGTTTTGATATTGTTAATAAGAGAAAAACTTTAACTAGGTTCTCAGTCGATTTTTTTAGAAAACTTAAATTTTACCTTAAATGCAAGCATTTTTTAAAAAGTAAAAAAATGTCAGAATTAAAATACAAATTGTGAATGTTGGATAATAATATTTAAAAAAAGCCGACGACGGATGAGAGGACCTAAATAAAGTTCTCATTATTTAAGTATGTAAAAATAAATATTCTACAATTATTATTTAGTTAATAATAGAGGATATGCGTAGATATGTTTAGATGAAAAAAAAAATTGTTTAAATCGCTGTCAAGGATGCTGTTGATAGTCCGAAAAATAAATTAACTACCAAAAAACAGTCCTAATTGCTGAACTAATAATTATACATCACAGTTAAAACCCTTTCAATTAAGATTAATTTATTCTAGTCTAATTTAAGTTTTTATTTTTTGATACTGTTTTAACGGTTTGTAAATATAAGTTAAAGGCAGGCCTTATAGCGTAGGATGTAGGTACTAAATACCTACCTTTTCTGAAATTTGGATGGACTAAAATCTTTTGTATTCTGTAGATTTTTTCGTGTTTATCATTTTTAGCTAAATTATGTTTCCCGACAATTATGCGCAAATGAGATTTTTTTAAATTTCTTAAACAATGAGCCGCTGTTAGAGCTATTGTTTCAGATACTAGTGCTCCTCCGCAATGGTGTTCCCATCCTCCTAAATATGCTTGTAACTCTACCTATAAAATAATCATAATTAAAATCATGATGCCAAGAAAAAAATATAATACATGGTGTATAATAAATATATATTTATGTACACACATTTGTAAAAATAATGTGTGTTAACTATTTAGTGTAAAGTAATTGTTACATACTTGCCAAGGGTACGCTCCGTAAGGAGTTGAATACCCACCAATGATTTTTGACTGTGGCCATCTGCGATAATTTAAATGGTGATTTACCGCCCTTGTTCCACATACTTCTACATAATCTAAAAAAAGACACAATAGCACTTTATTTTCACAACATTCAATACACTTGTTTAATTATTAATAACTGTTATGTTAAATATTTAATTGTTTTTTGTTTCAAATAGTATTTCAATATGTTTGTCCCCTATATAATTAAATCAAACATATAGAAAAACTATTTAAACCATACAATTAAAACAAAACAAAATATATATATATATATATATATTAACAATATTATAATAAAGTATTTTCATGCAAAAAAAAAAAAAAAAAAAATCCAAGAAATGTAGTTATTGTTGACTATGTGACACAAATATTGACAACTGATGATAAAATGTACATACTAGTGTTTTTATATAATTACATTTAGTACCTAGCTGCATAATCATTAATTGTGAAATCCATTGTCCTAATTTTCACTTCAGCCCACATGTTGTGCATTTTATTTGTTGTACTCATTTGTTTTCATAATCAGTGACTAATTACAAGTACATTTACATTTAAATTTGACCTTAAATTAATTTCCATTTTATAATTTTATCCAAATGCTTTTCAGCTTCACAACACACGAGCGAGCTCAATTTAGTGTTGCAACATTTATGCAATGGTAATACTAATTATATTAGTCATGAAAAACTCAAAGATCTGACAAGTCAAATACTGAATGAAGTGCTAGATCAAGACAGTGTGTTAGGAGATTTACCTAATAATGTCACTTTGGACGAAGTCGCTTTGCAAATAGCCGTACATCATGGACAAGCAATAACTGTTTATCTGGAACGGTTTGATGGCATTGTTGTACCAATTGTCGTAAGTTTACTAAAACTCAATAATTTTTGAGCTATTATAATTACATTGTATGTTTGGTATAAAGGTACAGCAAAAAAAGGCAAAAGTTTCGGATCTGAAAAAAAGCATCGAACGTAAAATGTCATTGCACTTGCAAAGATCTGGCGACAAAACTACAATAAGCTGGCGACGGATTTGGAAAACATATTGGTTAAGTTGTGAAGGAATAAAAATGAAATGTGATAATGACTTAATTGCAGACTATGTTATTAATAATTCAAAAATAATTTTCGTAAAACGGATTAGAGAAAAAAGTGTGAATAATAGTCAATAAATAATAATAATTAGATACAAAATAAGATTAGCGTGTTGTATATTTGTACAAAATTGTATACATAGAATGGATAAAAAAGAAATAAATAAAAAATACATACATAATTAATGCAACAATGAAGCTCATACGGATAATACAAATAAACTAATTTAAAATTATTTAATTTTCTGATGACGATGATGAAGAAGATGAATGAGATGTTTGTGAACTATTGTCGTTGTCATCGCCATCCTCTGATGACTCTTTAATTAACTTGTAATATTCAGCCATGGTAATTTTCTTTGGTAATACTTCTAAAAAAAAAACAGCATACGTTATAATAATGTTAAAGATATTTATGTTAATTAATATTCAGTATGACATAAAAACTGTATAAATGTCAAACCGAACAAACCCAGATTTACATCAAACCGCTCAATATTAAAACTTAAGTTCTTAGTATGGTCCAAAAATCAAACTTACAAAATGTAGAATTTATGTTTACATAAATTGTTTTGAGAAATTCTATAAACAATTTTTTACAAAAATAAGTAGTTTTTTTTTTTTTAAGTTTATGGTTATGAAAAATGTTTGTTAGAAACAACATTCAAAACACTGAAGTTTTTATTAGAATATGCAATAATGGGTAGGATCATCATGGTTTTGTTCAATATTTATTTTATATAATTATTTCACTTGATTTGAGTAGGTATACAAAAACTTATTTATAAGTTCATAAAGAGTTTTAATACTTTCACATCATAAATATTTAGCAGCGTAAACAAGTTCTGGTCAAAATCTAAGGTTCAATTTATCCAAAAAAATATGTAAATTCTATATCAGTATAAAAAAACATCAATTGATTTTACTTATAAAATTTTTTTTTAAATTATTTTAATTAAAAGTAATATTTTCAGGAATAATATACAAATGCAATTTTCAACCAGAATAAGTAATGCATCCTTGATATTATTATTAAGTATGAATTTTAAAACTCACCCCGTAAGAAGTACATATTTTCATTGTCTTCAACTGCCCTTGCAAGATCATTGTATTCTAAATTTCGTTGAGATCTCTGAACTTTAAGAGCATCTAAAGCCAATTTTTGAATAAACAACTCCTGAAATATAATTAAAAGGTCCCATTATTTGAGGTTATATTTTTTAGAACTAATACTATGTTAGCAGTTGTATGTATCTTGTAAATAGTGGTATTAATTAATTAATAGCAAAAACTAAATAATAATATTATACTTAGAAATCTTTTATAAAGTTCAATACAGTATATTACTTAAAACATTTTCATTCATACACTCTATTAGCCTCTTTAGTACATATTATAGTATATAGTATCATCAACAATATGAGTCCGCCCCTATTCATACTTGTTTTTCTGTTTGTGTGATATAATATGAAAATTTAAAGAAGTGACAAGTAAATTCTTAATGAGCTTATTGTAAGAAATAGAGAAATATTAATTTGATTTTAAACCAATTTTTTGAAAATAACAATGCAAACCAGACGGTTAAAAAATTATTATTTCTTATATATTGCATAGAGTATAATACTCTTAAATAACAGCACAATAATACTGGGAGTTAAATGTACAGTCCTAAGGAATTAAACATTTGAGAGTTAAGATCTTTAAAAAAAAAGAACAAGGACATTCGGGAGCCTATAAAACTACCGATTTTTGAAATGCTGACAGGATTGTGATATAGTGACATTCAATTCAGATACACACTATATAATATTTTCATAAATTTCATTTATATTGAGGATACAAATTTAAGGAAAAATAAAGATAACTTCTTTAAGTACTTACAGTCGCTTTGGTAACCACATGTAATGACGGTAATCCAATATTTTCAATGTCAGGGGTGCTTTTCATAATAGTTCGTACTCTAGATAATGGTAAATGCATGTCTTTTGATTTAGGTGTTTTGGGTTTGTCTTTATTAGAATCCATTTGTTCTGCATTAACGTCAGATGCTAAAAAGATGATCATAATACGTATATTATAGTGTTTAGTGTTTTTCAGTGTATTGAATGAACATAGTGGATATATTGTTAGAATGTTTTATACACAATTGACATTAATCATTGAAGACATGACAGTGGTGTATACATTGTTGATCGTAGGTTAAATGTTAATAACTTACTATTTAAAGATGACATAATTTAAATTGTATTAAATTGTGCGATCAAAGTAATGTAATATATTATATATTAAACCGCGATATGTTCATAAATCATTAAAGCACATTGATTTATAGTCTAGAAAATCTATTAAATAATAAACTGTTTTTGTCGGATAATAAATCCACCGAGTGCCTTGAAGAGTGAAGACTTGATCTCTCGACTCTCACGAAATCCAGATTCCAGCATTAAATAATCGAGTATCGAAAATAATAATATACAAAAATTCTTGTTTTCACTGATAATTGTGATACTGATAGTAACGGTCGTCTGACGAATGAATCTTTAATAGTTTAATTTTAAGTTAATAGATTGCGCTGTATTCACATGTTCCCGATTTCCAATTTACAGTAAATTTCTTATTCTAATTTCTATCGTACATACCTACTACATCAAAATACAAAATACCTACAATACAACAAAATCTGTTTGACATTTTTAATTGGAAATAGACTGAGTTAAAAATTTCGATTGGTTGCCGCGGTGTGGGAAATCGCATAAAGAGGACGCCACACCGCCCATTTTTAAGGAGTAAAGTATAGGCAATTTTTTTTACAAAATCTTAACTTAAAGGTTAAACTGTGATGTGTAACTATGAGTTCAGTAGTTAGGACCCTTTTCTTAGTAGTTAAATTATTTTTCGGACTATCGCAGCATCCTTGACAGCGATTTAAAAAAGAAATTCTGTTGAATTGAGTTTTACGCGGATTAATTTTTCTCAGGCTTCATATGTAGTTCAGGAAAGAAATTCATATATATATATATATATATATATATACATGATTTATGACAAAATTATCTGTGTTCCATCATCCGTATTTTTTTTTTTTTGATATAACTAATACAACCAACGATATATCGTTTTTAAAAAAGTAAAAAGAGTCCTTTCTTCTTAATTAATTAATTATTAATTAACTGGTTGAAATATTAAAAAAAGAACGATGGTAGAACACAAACAATGTTTTTGTATATATTATGTGAAAATTCGGTTTCTTATTTTTGATTACAGCCTTTGTAAAATTAATTCGCGCAAGGCGGGTTTTTTAAAAAAAATAACGGGTGTGTAGGGCGCCCTCTTAAAACTCCGAATAATTGGTCAAAACCGAAATGCCTTAAAACCCCAAATTAATTACGCTTTTAAACCAAAAAATACAATTTTCCAAAAATATTTTCACCGATATAATCTTTTGTAATTAAAAATGTTGTGTGCCATTCAAAACTAGATTTATTACAGATTATATTCGAGTAATTTTTTTTTTTAAATCAAAAATTATGCCTGCAAAACATGCGTTATTTTTGCGTCGCTCTGTAATGATTAACTTATATTTTGTTTTCGATTAATCGAGACGGGAGACACCAAAATAAAAATACATCAGTCTTTTTTAAATTATTAGAACCATAGACAAAAATCTCGACTTTAATGATTTTCAATTACTTTAAGTTTTATATTAATCCATTTTCTTGTAAATACTTTATTGTGAAATGTAGACATTTCACAATAAACTTTAAATGTACTTTTAAATTTGTTTAGTTAAAAATTGCTCTAAATGCGATTCTCGCAGTTTAATTTTTATAACATTTCCATGGGAGGGCCCTTAGGGCCTAGAAGCTCCTTTTGAAGGGGATGTTCCATATACCTACCAGTAAGGACCGCACTACAGGTTCAGTCTATGACTCTACAGATCCTAAATACACGGCCGTAATCGCCTACATATTGTCGTTACCTAATCGAAAAAAATACACAAAGTGAAAATTAGAATATAATGTACGGGCGGAAAAGAGCATGATATACTGTGTACATAGAATTTAAATTAAAAAAAGGCCGATAAACATTAGTTTTTATATTGAATGATATGCATAATAAATATTATTTATGGTATGAGTATTTATTAAATTTATTAAATACTGAATCCATATGAAATTTTTCATTGGCCAGTTTCTGAATGAAGCATAAAACATCATTATCAAATGTACTTAGAAGTTAAGTGGGTGATAGGAAGAAGATAACTCGGAAGAAAAAATGTTCAGATCCCCTCCCAAAAAAGTCAGCCAATCAAAGTAGGAGTAAAATGCTGCTACCTCGACGACTGAACTAGGCTCTAACACATAACCTACTCCCGGTCATAAGTGTCCATAAGAGTATTTTTTTTTTTTTTAGTATTTGCTAGTTTCAATGCCCTATTAGCTTAGCCAAATTAAAAAAGCGGGCATGACCTTCGCTGTACAAAAGTTCATAGGAACATCGATATGGCTTAATATACAAGTACCTATAGGACCCCCTAGTACTTTTTGGTACTTTCTAACGTCGAATGTTTTATCTGGTAATCTCTTACCTCACCTCCAGCATCCAGCTGGACCATCTCTTAACTCTAATTTCTTATTTCTAATCTAGTACTCTAATATCTTATCTCTTATATATTATCTCTATTTTTTTATCTCTAATATTTAAACTCTAATATTTTATCTATAATATCTTATCTCTAATCGTATATATACAGGGTGTCACGGAAAGTTCTACTGAGCTTCAAATGAGAAATTTAGGATGCTCTATGGGTACAATCAATGATATTCATTTTTTTTAATTTTAAAATTATTTAAAATAGAACTCGTATCTCATTAAAAAATGGTCTTACGAAAAAAATAATTTAAAATCGGGAGAAATAATCTTGTTGAATTGAAATGTATCATGATTTTTTGGTATCTGGCCACACATGCGTCCACCGAGTGGCCACTAAGTGGCTGGCATATGACCAAAACCAATTTATGAAATGTGACACATCATATTAGGTTAGAATTTTATTCTCAATTCAGTAGTGTTCTTAGTATTATTTTATATTAAATTATGTGTCGCATGCCATATAGTGGTTTTAGTCTCATGCCGGCCACTCAGTGGCCACTCGGTGGCCACCCTGTGGATTTGTGTGGCCAGATACCAAAAATTATGTTACATATCAATTCAACAAGATTTTTTCTCCTGATTTCAAATCTAAAATTTTTTTTTTTTGGATGTGTTGAAAATCCTAAATGTCTCATTTGAAGCTCGGTAGAACTTTCCGTGACACCATGTATATATATATATATATATATACTTGGTGACGTTCAGCGTGACGCACAGACTTTCCGATTGATCCCCAGCCCAATAACATATCTATGTTAAAATAATTTATTTGTCTTACGAATTAAAAATAATATTTTTGTTGGTGAATAGGGTTAGGCATCATTTAAAAATAAAATTATAGTTAACAATAATATATTTGATTAAATCAAAAAAAAACAATTACAGTGGTAACATTGTAATGTAAATAATTAAGTAATGATATAATGAAGACATAAAACAGACTCCAAACTGAGTGTAACACCTAAAGATATGGTTTGGTTTAAAATGTAATTGATAATGTAATGACGGTTTTACAATATTGTTCATTTAAATATCAAAAGTTCGTCAACTACACTGTTGGAGCGACCGAGTCCTGTATGTCTTGATCCTAAGGCATCAAGTAATTTTTGCGATGACGTTGCTACTTTGGTTCGGTTTTCGTGATATTCCTTCGCGAAAAACTAAAAATAAAACATAAACATTATTTTAATAAACGACTTAAACATTCCACAGCTGAATAAAGTTTTATTTCCGATACGAATCTACAAAAAAAGGTATTGGGTTTACAATGATGTTTTTTTACAACTTTTTGTGTCTGAAAACTGATTTGTTCGTGTAGCTAGTATATCAGACTACTACGATTAATAATTTCACCCTTTCGCCTATAAGCATTTTCGCATTTGACTACTTTAAATGTGATTGTATTTTAAAGACTGTAAAAAGAGGCGGTGTCTTGAAAAAAACCGTTGATACGTCACGATGATTTTAAGGCGGACAGATATAATTTTTAAAACAAATTATTATGTAATTTTTTTTAGAAAATATGATAGTTATTTTGTTCCGTAATTTCGGAGGTGGTTTTCGGAATAGCTTAAAAACAAAAAAAATATTTCGATCATGAAAATTAATATTTAAAAAAAAAATCGTTTCTTTATTTTCCCGGTTTCAATTTCAATTTACAAAACCATTTTTACAAGTTTTCTAATTTTATTTAAATTTTGATTATGAATAACAACAACGTAAATGTATTTGTCCGATTTCGGTAAGGTTTTAACCGGTTTCATGTCCTGGTTTTTAAATGCTGTTTTGTTTTACTTTATATTTGTATATATCGAACAATTAATTTGATCATTTTCGGATCTTCCAAGTTGTCATTAGTTAGCCGACGTTTCGGACCTATTGCATATTAGCAATTATAGGTAAGTACTTGTATGTAAACGAGTGCAATGGACTCGAAAGGTCATCTAAGTAATGATAACATGGATAAATCCGAAAATTATTAAACCAATGTTCCAATGGTGGTGATAAAACCTTTTCGTTTGAAAATGATTCAGTTTTACACTTGTATATGAGTATTGTATGTGCATTACAACCCTGAATTGGAAATATAATATTACTTGATAATTAGTAGTGTATACCTGTAATTTAAATGAATGGAACATGGTCTTTTCTCTTTTCTTAATCATGTATTCAGTAGGTAAAAGCCATCGATGCTCGTGGCATTCTTCTGCTGACGGTCTTTTTCTAAAATAAAAGACCAACGATATTATTGTTAAATAAGCAATCAGGTAAGCTGCAAATATAACACAGATATGTCTCACGTTGGCGTTCGTTTGAACAACAACATCAAGAATCGTGTGGCTTCTTGAGATAAGTCTTTGTATAAATATTCAAATCTATATCTAACAAATGTTATATTTTGTCTTGTTTCTATATCATTAGCTCCTCGGAACGGTGACATGCCAGACAACAATATATATGTGATTACTCCGAGTGACCAAATGTCAGAGTACGGATAAGCAGGTTCATTGCAAAGGATCTCAGGCGCTACACATAAAAATATGTATGAATGAAGACAATATATATTATTATAAATAATTGTAAGTTTTATTTAAGTACCCGTAAACTCAAGAACACTGTCAGTTTTTACCATCGCGCCAAGTTTACTGACTTTCTGAGCACAACCGAAATCTATTAACTTTACATGGATATTTCTAATCGAAGCCATCACTATGTTGTCAGGTTGTAAATTTAAATGAGCATAGCCTCTCCAATGTAGATATTGTAATCCGTCCAACACCTGAAGTAAAGTGACTTTAGTATGTATTTATCGGTTGTTGACTATTAAATAAATCTGTACCTTGGGTCTAAAAGGATCAACGTCAATTAACGGCATGAATGAGTTAAAACATTAAACATGAAAATTGAAACACCTTTTATATTGTGTAAATTATAGCTTACGGAAATTAAAAACCTAGTCAATATTTTTAAGATTTACAGATAGATATATTGGTTATGTAGATCTAAGGTACAGAATTACAAAAAAATATTTAAATCCGGTAGATACTTGTGTAACAATTGTGGCAATCATTTGTTCTGAATAATATTCTTTTGTTGACAAGTATGTCAATATATCAGCTCCTTGGAGTTTTTCTTGAATAAAAACAGCTACCGGTGCATTTTCCAGCCTAAATTGTATATTATTACAGAATAATTATAGATTAAGATTTATCGTCACGGGTGATCAAAATCTCATGTGACCCACCTGAAAGCTTCATTAAGATATGCTATTCGTTCATGTCTTAAGGTACTCAAAGTGTTAAATTCATGTGTGATTAATGATTCCGTGGCAGGTGTGACTTCTAATAATTTAGCTACAATTATAGACTCGTTAGTAGTATCTATTCCTTTCAGAACAACTGAAAATCGCCCTCTAAATATGTTTAATATAAAAATAGGCTTGTATTATATTGTATAATTCGATGTAGGTAATAAAGATAATTATTATTCAGATTGAAATTTACCTAGCAATTTCTGAAATAAAACGATACTTCTCTATCGGAGGTTGTTCAACCCATTCAGTAGGTTTGTACTCTAGTGAATAATCTAAATTATTATGTGGCTCATCCCCAATAATTTCGTGTCCGTTTTCAGTTATTATTTGGAGATTTAACATTGCAGGGGGCACTTCTAACTTTGGACAATCTAACAAACATAATTTATACGGTATAATTAAATAGAAATAATACCATTTTTGTGTTTAGAATAATAGGGTCTCACCAGGGAAACTAGTTCGGACAACTGCTGATGCAGGTCCAGTGGGTCCCCACGCAATACGGTTCATTGCTGCTAATCTGAATTCGTAGTTTGTGTATGGTCTAAGATTCTGCATTAACCAGAATTCGTGATCAATGTTTTTGGCCACTATTTCCCATTCACCTTCTGAAAACGTTTAAATAATTTTGATGTATAATAGTCTTCAAATTAAGAAAACGATTTAATGCTGAGATGTGTACATTGTATTGGTTCCATAAACCTTGTTCGGAGCAATCGCAGTGTTCTTATAAGAGCTGTTTATGGAAACAATACAATTTTATACAAACCAGAACAAAAACTTAAGATACGTTATATTGTCTACTATCGAATAGACAAATTTCTTCAGCTGTAATTTTTATAAGAAAATTGATTAGATATCTCTGTTAAACTTGTGATATTTTGAAATAATTATGTATAGTTTTGATTTGGTAAACGCTGTACAAATTATGTTAAGACTATTAAAACATACACATAAAATATGTTTAAGCTGTATCATTTACCATTTTCACGAACTTCTAATTGATAACATAGAATTGGTGCATTTCCATCCGATTTTGGATGATCCCATCGTACTAAAATTTCCGTATCTGAAAATTCTTTTATAACCGGAGCATCCATTATTCCAGGTACATGAGCCAATACAATTCTAAATAAATGTATATTTTATTTTAAATGTAATGAGGAAATATGTTAATATAATTTATAAGTTTACCGTGCTCGAGCCGTCGTTTGTCCAAATTTATTTCTTGCCACGACTTTATAAATTCCCAAGTCTAATTCAGTCGCTGGATCTAATCTGAGAATAGATCTTCCGTCGTTGTCTTCTAACATTTTAATTCTATGACTTTCGGCCAGAACTATATCATTTCTATAACAAGTTTTATAAGTTTTAATAAATAGCTTACTTGATATACCATATGTATTAGGTGGCACGACCAGAGAATTTTTTTACCTTGGAAAGGGCATTATAAACAAGTGTACATATTTTAAATACTGCCGGAAAACTTATACTTCGGAAAGGGTGGGGAAAGCGTGTTACACTTTTGTAAGCACAACAAAAGACTCAAAAATATAGACATAATATTTGCCATGACACGAGAATAGCTGATGTAGGTATTTAAGTTGTGTCAGATAGTTTGTAATAGTGGTTAACGACTATAATAGTTATGAGTGATGACAAGAATGAGAAAGATTAGTCTTACTTAAACCATTGAACTAGTGGTTTTGGGACGCCTACGGCTAAGCACATAAGATCAGCTGGCTTGTCTGGTTCAATTGGTAATTTTTGTGGTTTTTCTCTAAAGAATGGCGGTTGTCCATCAATTCTTGACTCCAAAATGGCTTCAGCTTCAACTTGGGCGGTAGGTCTAGACCCAACTTCTTGTTTAAGTCTTCTTAATGTATACACATCAGCACCATATTGACTAATCCTTGCTTTTTGCTCATCTTCAATTTCTTCGTCCATTATGTCAGTGAACCTCCTTCTTTCACGAATAACTGGTGCCTAATGATATTATCAAATTATAAAAAAATAAAATAAAAAATAAAATGTCATCAGTTACCTCCCAATCTAAATGTGATTCGCTTCCTCCTCGACCTGATAAACTCTTACCAGCAACTTTCATGTATTCTCGCAAACGAACAGGGAAATTCGTATCTCTAAGCTGCAATAAATACGTATCTGGGCCATATTGATAATGACTTTCAGATTTAACAATTCCTATTTCTGTGTCAATTGGTTCTTTGTCTCTGGGAATAAGTTTATCTTTCCAACACGGTACATGCTTAATGTGTTTAGTTGGTTCTCGTTCTGGGGTTGGACTAGGTGTACATTTTATTCCTGGCGGATAGATCATTTTTGAAGGATGACTATAAGCCGAAGTTAATGGTCTACGCCTCAACCAGTTTCTACAAGACGCATTACTATACCAATCCCTAAAAAATAATCGGTTGTATTTTTTCATGATATTATTCAAATACTTTTAAAATATTTGAAAATTGTTAGTAACGTACTTGAAATTATTATAATAGTTTCTGAGGGAATCAGTATTTCTTTGATCAGATTCTTTTGTTATATTTTCACCAAGTTGTAGCCATGGGTGTTTTAGTGCTTTCGTTACGTCCAAACGATCATTAGGGTTTAACACTAAGAGTTTTGAAATAAAATCTTTTGCTAGATCGCTTATTTTAGTACTCAGAGTGTACGAGCCACTTTTTACTCTATCCAAGGTATCGGCATCATTGACACAACGGAACAGTGATACTCCAGTTAATAATAAATGAGTAATAATTCCAACTGACCACATGTCAGAATACAAATCGACTCCTTCTCCTTTAGCTATTTCAGGAGAAACGAACTCTGGCATACCATAATCAACGGTTTCTAATTTTCTTCGATTTACTTTTCTGCTTAGGCCAAAATCACATAATTTTAGAGTATCGCCTCCTGGGTGAGATATTAGTAAATCTCCAGGCTAATTATTAAAAAAAAAAAGTTTAATATTACTAAGTAGGTGCTAATACTATGCTAACTATAAATATACCGGGTGATTTTTTTAACGTCCTACATTATAGTTTATTCTTAAAAAAATTGCAATATTGTAGTTTTTCTTTTTAAAAACATTTTTATTCATGTTATACAGTAGACGTCGTTTATTAGACTCACTTTTGAATCAGAGCATTTAAGTCCATTGGACGAATGAGTCAATAAGACGAAAGGTCCAAGAATACAAGCATTAATATACTCTTTAATATTGAATAATATTAATTCATTAATTTTTATTTATGTTTTTTATTTAATATTTTAAACCTAGTAAACTTTGAGAAACATTTAACTTGCAAGCTCAACACTAATACTCCCAATTTGATAAAGCTCTAAAAATACTATAAACATATAAACGTTTGAATATTGTCTAATATTGTAATATAGTATAAACATAAATGTTTTGAAAAATATAAACTACCTACAAAATATCATTAATCAATCATTTGAAGAGAACACTGGTGTAGGGCGTTAAAAGAATCATACGGTATACGAAATTATTTTCCAACTTGTTTACTTACTGTTAAGCCTAAATGTGCTATGTCAAATTCGTGCATATGCCTCAAGGTTTTTAACAATTGAATAATGTACAATGATACATCGTATTCAGTTAGGAATGACTGTTTGGTAAGAATATCCAATAACTCACCACCGCCAGCACTGATTCAATATGTTAAGGAATATACATTTTATGTAAACTAATGCTTAACTTTAGTACCTAAAGTTAATAATCTACAATTTTTGAAAAAATATAGTTTTTGTTAAAACTTTAAAACATGATTTACATGAACCATATATATATATATATATTATAATATATATATACCATATATATATATTGGCAGTATCCTAAAGGTATTGGAATTACGCAAGTACAATAGATAAATATGATAGAAATGTTTAATAAAATTGTCAAAGGATACAGTTCTGTGATGAGAACATGTGTTTTGGAATTTTGTAGAGCCTCGTGAATCCGAATTATACGTCGATTGCTCAATTCACTCATTATTTTCATTTCATTGTCCATCAGTTTTGTTAAGTGGTCACCTTTAGCATGCATAACTTTGGCAGCGTAATGTCTACCTGTAGATCTTTCTACTACGTGGTACACGACGCCTTGTGTTCCTCTTCCCAGTTCTTCTCCGATGTCGTAGAGATCTTCTAAGTCCTTCTTCTTCCACCTAATTTCTGTTTTGCCGTTGTTTGAATAATCCGATTCTCGATCTTCGATATGAATAGCTACTGATGTAGATATAGAACCAGCTAAATTTCGAGCACTTATACTGTATAATCCTTCATCTTTCATGATAACATCTTCTATACGTAGAATACATATATCTGGTTCTACTTGCTCTATCTGTAAAAGCATAGGATATGGTAAGTATAAAAGTTACTATCAAAAGATACTAACAAAATGACAAACTTAATTAATTAACCGACCTGGATTCTCGCTGAATTAACTAAAGGCTGCCAATCTTTATACCATTTTATTTCTGGGTACGGAACGCCTACGACCCGAGCTTCCAATTTGCAGTTTTTACGTAAAGTTACATACGTTTCTTCGGGTCTTTTCAAAAATCTAGGATACTCGGCTATTTGCAATCTTACTCTTTGTCTTGCTGTCCCGTGTTCATTAGTGGCAACAGCTTCATACACGCCGATGTCTCGATCAAGCATTCTTAAACACACATTTTTTTTTATTATGCAAAATTAAACAATATGAATATTATAATCAGTAATGTTTTACTTATTAATGAATAAGGTTGCTTGGCCATTTCGAGTGTAGCTTGAATCATAACGACCGCCCATTTCTATTAATTCGTTATCGAAGTAATATTGCATCTTTGGTTTAGGATAGCCATACACAAACCAAAACAGATTGACATTATGACCTTTAACACCGTATTGCGTGTCGTGTTCTTGATGCAAAAATCTGAAACGATAGTTCATAAATTTAATGTGAACAGAGATTCCAAAAATTTGTTGAAAATACTTAGGAGCTTGTGCATAATTGTCGTGAGGTGGTCTCTCGATGTCAAAATCTTTAGGAAAATATGGCGACGATTCTGGTTTGAAAATACTTCCTCGTGGTAAATATGGTTTAAATTTTGGTGGTTCTGGTTCAAGTTTTTCTCTATTTGTAATTACAAAATAAAAATATTTTTAGTAGACAAAACAAAAACTTAATTTTCAAAAAGTAAAAGAATACCTGAATGTTAAAACAAATGGTGATGGGTCACTAACTCCGTAATTGTTTTCAACTCTAATTCGGAATTTATAATCTCTGAATGGTATCAAGTTGTGTATGTCACACGCACAACCTCTTATACCAGCTCTAGCTGTGGTCCAATCACCTTTAGGTTGTTCTTCCATTTCCACTAAATATGTGACTGGAGTTCTTGGAGTAATAGGTAAAGATGGCCTCCATGTTAATGTTAGTCTTCTGTCTGTCATTCGACTTATTATTGGTGGATCAGGTAATGGTAATGGTGCGCCAGTAGCACGATATCGATCAAAGTCTTTGTATAGCTCACCAACAGGACGTTTAGATCGTGAATCTAATCCATCTTTTAATATATAATAAATTTAATTAGTCTACGATCGAATGTAAAATTAAAATTAACAAAAGACTTACTGTCAAAAATGATGCTTGCCTCGCAATAGGCTTCACCGTGCGGATTAAAAATTCGTAATTTGTATCGACCAGAGTCAATAAGAGAGTCAGCATGTAAAATTTTTAACCGTATCAAACCACTTCCCTCTTTTTCCATTCTTATACGTTCTGTTTCATATAATCGATTAGTGTCGAAAAACCATTCGTACTCGGGTTCTGGCCATCCAGTAGCACATGCTGTAAACTTTGCGGTCATGCCGTCATAAATCTCGCAGTCTCCAATTTTTTTCATAAATGACGGTGGTTCTTGTTTTCTAGACTTGTCGACGCTAAAACGTAATGTGAAATACAATAATCAGAATTTAGACTAGGAATTTCATGTACCAAAAAATGTACACATGAACCCATTTTGGAGAGAATAACAACTTTTATATTCTAGATAATATATGCTACATAGTTATAGAAATTCTTACATTTTCGGAGCTATAGCAAGTTGCGCTTCACAAGTAGCAGTTCCATCTCTATTAGTTGCAATACAACTGTATAGACCCGCATCATCTTCTTGGACATCGCATACTGTTAAACTACAAACTTCACCGTCACGACGAATTTTGTATTTATCACCGTTGTTTAATTGACGACCATTTTTGTGCCACATAATAATCGGTGATGGTACTCCAGTAACTCTAGCGTGGAATTTTGCATCTCTTGAAAGTAGCTAATTTATAAATTATAAATATGATTTAGTTAGTTAAAATTTATAAATATCATTAATAATAGTGAGTACTTTTGCTTTATAAAAAGCGATTTTAGTGAGATATTTTTTTGTCGCCAATGTACTCATAAACAAAGCATAATAAATTACTTGTTCGCAACGCTTGCATATTACTTTTAGGTTTTTTTAGGATCTTTTAAATTATATATCTCTCTTTCTAAAATAATGTTACTCACTCTAAATGTCATTAAATTTGTAATTGGTCCTACCTTATCATATTAAAAATATTCCTATTGTAATCAATACACCTTACACCAAATCAGACTTATCATACATTAATTTATAATTAACTTTCTCTATAAAAAATTTAAAAAAAAATTGCTTTGTTATTTGAAAAAAAAACTTTTAATTGATTAGAACATTTGATTATATTTACAAATCACTTAAATATATTTTAGATTTTAAACTCACAAAATTAACTTGTCTACCAAAAATTCAACCAATAATTTCGTATGGTGTCGCTTTTTGGGGAGGTACATACTATATACATTTCCGCATACTTGAAGCAACTTTAAATTCGCTATTTAAATTCATTTTTAATAAACCTATTTTGTATCCTACTTTTAGTTTATATAACGAATTAAATGTTCTTAATTTTAAGTCCTTGGATATCCAAAATGTTTTAATGTTACGTATAACATGAAAACTTTAATTTCTACTCCGGGTCATAATATTGTACTCGTCTAAAAATTAATTCTAATATTATTGTGCCTAAAAACAGAACTGTATTTGGGAAATTTAGTTTTAAGTATACACTTGTAGAATTTTGCACTAGACATAATTTAGAAATTGGAAATTATGTTGATTTCAAAATATATAAAAACTGTATTGATAGGATTCTATTTGAGTTGTACATAGCTTTACTACATTAGTTCTACATTCTATTTTATTTTTTATTCTTAGCTTAGTACTCTCTACTCTTGCATACCTTTGGCTTTTTAGGAGATTCATCATATTATATTACTGTTGTTATGTAATATTATTGTTAATAATATATTATCATGTTACTAACTCGTGCGCGAACTTAATAAATATAAAATATCGTTTTTCTAAAAACATTAACTAGTACATACTTGTTGATTATGCGAAAAGCGTTGAGTGAATATAGGAGCTTGGTATAACTTTCGAATAGAAACGTGGGCATCTGATACAGTAGATCCAAGTTTATTGGTTAATGTGCATGTGTACTTTCCAGCATCTCCAGTGTTGGTATCTTGTATTTCCAGCCCAATTTTATATCCATCGCACGAAAAATGAATTCTGTTACAAGGCTGTATTACTTTTCCATCTTTTTCCCATTTAACTTCTGGTATCGGATTACCGAGGAAAGGAGCTGATAACGTCAACAGATTGCTTTCTTCTACAGTTGTATCCCTTAGTCCGTGAAGGAATATAGGTTCACTTTCCGAAGCTTCAGAATTCGTTTTTGCTAAACTTACAATTATTTTTTTTTTTAAAAGTGTTATTATAATTTGGAAATACGAATTATACTCACAAGTAACTGCTAGATTAGCTTCTGATGAAATTGTTCCGTGATCATTTGATGCAGTAACAGTTATTTTGCCTGTAAGCTCGGGAGATGTTTTTTCAATCAAAAGATAATGGAGACCATCCGGACCATGCGTAAGTTTTACCTTTTCTCCATCTACGTTTAATGGACTTCCGTTTACCGTCCTAAAAAAAATAAAATATTATTATAAAATATAAACTGATCCAAGAACATTAATTATTAGTTGGTATCAATCATTTTACATGATATATTTGAAAATAAAGATTAAATCATTACCATGACAATTCTGGGTGTGGATATCCAGATAATTGAATTTGAAACTTTGCAGGGAAGCCTTCAACCACTTTTGAGTTTTTCAGAGGTGTAATAAACTCTGGAGCCTTGGGTGCTGGAATAACTGTTGCTTTTGCTTGGCTAGAGGCTTTTCCCAGTTCATTTGATATTACAACTTCATAAATACCAGCATCTTCAAGCTTTGATTTTTCAATTATAAGAGCGATATAACCATTGGGTCCCATTACAAAGTCTAATTGGGGACAAGGATAAAGAAGGTGTCCATCCTTATACCATTTAATTAAAGCTGCTGGATGAGCCTGATACTGAGCTTCTATTTTTATTGCATCTCCTTCAGTTATGTTGACGTCTTTTGGGTTTTTGATAATAATTGGCGTCTTTGGCGTTTCTAAGAAATGCACACATAATACATTTTTTAAACATTTATTACAGATTTAAAAATCAATTAGAAGTTTTTCGTAGCACGTGAAATATAAAAAATTTAAATGATTATTTTTCAATTAGGTAATTTTAATAAAATGTTGGAATACAATTTAAGAAAAAGGTCTTCATTCACTATAAAATATTTTGCAATAGGTATATTTTTATACTGCACATTGTGCTACAGTAGTATCAGTGAATTTTCTTATGTCTGATTATTTTATATTATGATTTATGAAGTAGAAAGTAACATAGCTGGAATCCATGAAAAATTTAGGAGGCTAATAGTATGTTTTATGTCAAACGAGTGGAAAGAAAGTATCTAGTAGTGATTTTGCTAATTTTAAAACAATTGTCATATTTATGCATAAATATTGCATATTTATGTATTTTCTATAAAGCTTACCTGTTACAACTAAAGCAGTGTTAGTCGTACTTTTACCAAAGTCATTAGTAGCTATGATTTTGTAAGCTCCACAATCTCCTTGTTCGACTTTATCAATTTTTAATAAAATTGATCCATCTGGATTTGTTTCTAACTGTATATGTTTTTCTTGACCATCACATGGTTCATCTTCTTTGAGTTCTTCACCGTCTTTGTACCATTTTACAGAAGGGCGAGGACTTCCAATAAGTTCTGCCTGTATCTCAAGTGGACACCCTTCAATCGCTTCTGTTATACGTTCGAATGGTTTCACAAAAGATGGTATAATTTCTGCCATTGTCATTTTAGATGAAGTTTCTGCTTCACCGACCATGTTAACAGCTTTGACCGAAAACTACAATAAAAGTTAATCTTTACAACTGCTTCTTAATACAATCAAATACAAATTTTACAGTAGCAATCTCCAAGTCGCTGAAATGATCAATAGTGAGGGTACTTTTAACTTGTCCGTCTTCATTAGTGTGTACAGTTACTCTAAGGTCAGGTATAACAACATCGCCGTTTTTATACCTAAATTACAAACCAAAGAAAAATACTTTCAGGTTCGAAGCAATACTAAAAATATATAAGTTTTACAATTTTGAGTTTTACAATTTATATTTATTAAATGTTTCATCGGGTCCAATAGAACTTAATTGCTGGTCGACTTCTTAGTCTACATGGTCTCCAGAATTTTATGGGCTACCTGATATTTTAAAAATATACTAAAATAATTTTTAAAAACCTGTAAACATGTCTGATTTTTATCGTTATCTCTGTTTTCAAAACTATTGTCGGAATACATGTTTCAGAGTAAAGTTAAAATTATAATGCATTTTTTTTAATAAAAAAATTCTTAGATGTGGAGCTTCTGAACAAAACTAGATATATTTACCAGGTAACTTTTGGTTTTGGAACTCCATTAACTCTTACAGTTAATTGCACTTCTTTATACTCTTCTATGGTTTTATCCTCCAACAATTTAACAAATGAAGGAATTTCAGCTAAAATAAAAGGATAAATTTAGATACACCGTTCAAATTTATGTGGGTAATAAATAATACATCTCAATAGCACAATTAAATTAATTTAAAAAATATATATCAGTATGTACAAGAATAACTCAAATGCTTTAATATGACGTATACGTGTCCTACACATAGTCATTATTTCGATTAACAAACATATCATAAAGTAATCAGCTCAGAAATACTTACTGTGAAGTTTGAGTTTTGCAGAAGCTGTAGTTTCGCCTACTTTATTCCAAGCTTTTACATTGTATTCTCCAGCTTCTTCTGGTTCAACATCTCTGATTATGATTTTAAATTTCATAATATTTTCTTCTAATTCTTCACTTAAAAGTTCAACATCATTACGCTCAGATAAATCTTTTCCATTAATAGTCCAAGAGATTTTAGGCTTAGGTACTGCTTTAATAATAGCTTCAAATACAGCTTCCATTGAAGGTATGACTGTAATATCGTGAAATCCTTCTATTTCCGGTCTCATTACGATATCCAAACGGGCACTACACTCTGCTGAATCAAATTTATTTGTAGCTTTTACTTGGTAAATACCAGTGTCACTTAGTTCGGAAGATGGTATAGTCATAGTAAAAGTACACTCTTTTAGACCATTTGCTATTTCAACAGAACTAACTGAAAAATCTGCGTTTACTTCCTTTCCATTACACGTCCATAAAACATCAGGAACTGGATCTGCTACTAGCGTGAATGACCATGCAACTTTTTGACCTTTGATGATTTCGAGGTCATTTAGTGGCTTTTTAATTTTTGGTCCACGAAGCAATTCCACGTCTTGTACATTAAGATTTGCAGATTTCGATGTTTCACCGACTTCGTTTGTTAATTGGCAAGTATATGTTCCAGAATCGGCTACTCTCAAATCTGTTACAATCAGCTTAAAGCATTCTTCTTCGTCAGAATCAATAATTTGAATATTTCTGGTTTTTGAAATTTCTTTTCCGTCTTTAAACCTGGCAAAAATATAATTTATTTGTTATATTAGAATAGTAGTATACAATACATATTTATGAATACTTATAAAAATATGTTTAGAGAAGTTTCGGTGCAATGATTGCAAACATAAATGAAATATTAGTAGTCTACATAATATATACGTTATGTGTTAATAAAATATAAAAAATGATCCCAGCTTATATTTCTTACAAGAGATGAACTTCATAATTTCATTAGCGTTATCTTTTTAGATTAGAAATTAATATATAATTAAAAATAGGTAGATATAATAAATTTACAGCAGACATTTTGTATAATGTGTTTACCATTTAATTTTTGGCTTGGGGGCTCCTCGAGCTTTGACATCAAAAACTTGTGTGAGTGACTCATAGGTTTCTATATCATCCATACCGGATATAACTTCAGGTGGAACTGGAAAACAAAATATTCAAAATTGTTATAATAAATTAAAGAAAGCATATCTTATGAACGTTTCAGTATCACTTACCAAATATGTATGACATTACAAAAATACAAGACAAGCAAAACGTACGTACTATGATAACAAGACAACACTATATTAGGAAAACCAAATCAAGCCAACAAAAACCACAATAAAGTAAACTGTATGTTGTAAAACTCAAAATTTCAACACAACTACAGACGAGCAAAAAACAATCAATTGCACTGACGTCATTTTTTAAATTATGTATACACAATACCTCCTAATTTTCTATTTTCATCTTGTTTTCTTATACCATCAGTATTGTTTCGTTTAAAACTTTCATTCGACTTAAGTGTCTCATCACCACGATTAGATTTATAACTCATATCATCAGTAGATGGTAGTTTCGAGAGAGATCCTCGCTTTGGCTGTTCACTTTTGTCATCAGTAGAACCTAATTTAGATATAGAACCTCGTTTAGGTTTTACATTCAAATCTTCAGTAGACGGTAGTTTTGAGAGAGATCCTCGCTTTGGCTGTTCACTTTGGTCATCAGTAGAACCTAATTTAGATATAGAACCTCGTTTAGGTTTTACATTCAAATCTTCAGTAGACGGTAGTTTTGAGAGAGATCCTCGCTTTGGCTGTTCACTTTGGTCATCAGTAGAACCTAATTTAGATAAAGAACCTCGTTTAGGTTTTTCATTCAAATCTTCAGTAGATGGCAGTTTTGAGAGAGAACCTCTTTTAGGGTGTTCACTTCTTTCATCAATAGAATTGTTTAATTTGAGTTGGGCAATGGCTGTGGTTTCCCCTACTTTGTTCCATGCTTTTACTTCGTATTTACCAGCATATGTGCTATCTACATTTCTAATAACGAGTTGGTGTTTTGTAATATTGTCTTCAAGTTCTTCACTTATAATTTCAACATTTTTTCCTTTGGATAAATCATTTCCATTGTAAGACCAAATAATTTCTGGTTTAGGGGCGGCGTTTATAATGACTTCAAATACAGCTTTCGTGGAAGGCATAACGATGATATCGCGAAATCCGTTGATTTCTGGTCTCATTACGATGTCTAACCGGGCACTACATTCAGTGGATTCAAATTTATTTTTAGCTTTTACTCGGTATGTGCCAGCGTCACTAAGTTTACAAGACGGGATAACCATTGTGAATGTAAATTCTTTGATACCATAAGAAACTTCTATTGAACGAACTGAAAATTCTGCTGTAACTTCTTTGTCATTCTTAGTCCACTCAATGTCAGGAACAGTAGCTGACTCTAACGTTATCGACCAAGAAACCGTTTGACCTTTAATAATTTCGAGGTCAGTTAGTGGCTTTTTAATTTTTAGTCCACGGTTCAGCTCCCCCTCATCTGCTCGTTTCTCGTCTTCAGTAAGTGTTGATAAAGAACCTCGTTTAGGTTTTACATTCAAATCGTCAGTAGACGGTAGTTTTGAGAGAGATCCTCGCTTTGGTTGTTCACTTTGGTCATCAGAAGAACCTAATTTAGATATAGAACCTCGTTTTGGTTTTTCATTCAAATCTTCAGTAGACGGTAGTTTTGAGAGAGATCCTCGCTTTGGTAGTTCACTTTGGTCATCAGTAGAACCTAATTTAGATAAAGAACCTCGTTTAGGTTTTACATTCAAATCTTCAGTAGACGGTAGTTTTGAGAGAGATCCTCGCTTTGGTTGTTCACTTTGGTCATCAGTAGAACCTAATTTAGATATAGAAACTCGTTTAGGTTTTACATTCAAATCTTCAGTAGACGGTAGTTTTGAGAGAGATCCTCGCTTTGGTAGTTCACTTTGGTCATCAGTAGAACCTAATTTAGATAAAGAACCTCGTTTAGGTTTTACATTCAAATCGTCAGTAGACGGTAGTTTTGAGAGAGATCCTCGCTTTGGTTGTTCACTTTGGTCATCAGAAGAACCTAATTTAGATATAGAACCTCGTTTTGGTTTTTCATTCAAATCTTCAGTAGACGGTAGTTTTGAGAGAGATCCTCGCTTGGTAGTTCACTTTGGTCATCAGTAGAACCTAATTTAGATAAAGAACCTCGTTTAGGTTTTCATTCAATCTTCAGTAGACGGTAGTTTTGAGAGAGATCCTCGCTTTGGCTGTTCACTTTGGTCATCAGTAGAACCTAATTTAGATAAAGAACCTCGTTTAGGTTTTTCATTCAAATCTTCAGTAGATGGCAGTTTTGAGAGAGAACCTCTTTTAGGGTGTTCACTTCTTTCATCAATAGAATTGTTTAATTTGAGTTGGGCAATTGCTGTGGTTTCCCCTACTTTGTTCCATGCTTTTACTTCGTATTTACCAGCATATGTGCTATCTACATTTCTAATAACGAGTTGGTGTTTTGTAATATTGTCTTCAAGTTCTTCACTTATAATTTCAACATTTTTTCCTTTGGATAAATCATTTCCATTGTAAGACCAAATAATTTCTGGTTTAGGGGCGGCGTTTATAATGACTTCAAATACAGCTTTCGTGGAAGGCATAACGATGATATCGCGAAATCCGTTGATTTCTGGTCTCATTACGATGTCTAACCGGGCACTACATTCAGTGGATTCAAATTTATTTTTAGCTTTTACTCGGTATGTGCCAGCATCACTAAGTTTACAAGACGGGATAACCATTGTGAATGTAAATTCTTTGATACCATAAGGCACTTCAGTTGAACGAACTGAAAATTCTGCTGTAACTTCTTTGTCATTCTTAGTCCACTCAATGTCAGGAACAGTAGCTGACTCTAGCGTTATCGACCAAGAAACCGTTTGACCTTTAATACTTTCGAGGTCAGTTAGTGGCTTTTTAATTTTTAGTCCACGGTTCAGCTCCCCCTCATCTGCACGTTTCTCGTCTTCAGTAAGTGTTGATAAAGAACCTCGTTTAGGTTTTACATTCAAATCGTCAGTAGACGGTAGTTTTGAGAGAGATCCTCGCTTTGGTTGTTCACTTTGGTCATCAGAAGAACCTAATTTAGATATAGAACCTCGTTTAGGTTTTACATTCAAATCTTCAGTAGACGGTAGTTTTGAGAGAGATCCTCGCTTTGGTAGTTCACTTTGGTCATCAGTAGAACCTAATTTAGATAAAGAACCTCGTTTAGGTTTTTCATTCAAATCTTCAGTAGACGGTAGTTTTGAGAGAGATCCTCGCTTTGGTGTTCACTTTGGTCATCAGTAGAACCTAATTTAGATATAGAACCTCGTTTAGGTTTTACATTCAAATCTTCAGTAGACGGTAGTTTTGAGAGAGATCCTCGCTTTGGTGTTCACTTTGGTCATCAGTAGAACCTAATTTAGATAAAGAACCTCGTTTAGGTTTTTCATTCAAATCTTCAGTAGACGGTAGTTTTGAGAGAGATCCTCGCTTTGGCTGTTCACTTTGGTCATCAGTAGAACCTAATTTAGATATAGAACCTCGTTTAGGTTTTACATTCAAATCTTCAGTAGACGGTAGTTTTGAGAGAGATCCTCGCTTTGGCTGTTCACTTTGGTCATCAGTAGAACCTAATTTAGATAAAGAACCTCGTTTAGGTTTTTCATTCAAATCTTCAGTAGATGGCAGTTTTGAGAGAGAACCTCTTTTAGGGTGTTCACTTCTTTCATCAATAGAATTGTTTAATTTGAGTTGGGCAATGGCTGTGGTTTCCCCTACTTTGTTCCATGCTTTTACTTCGTATTTACCAGCATATGTGCTATCTACATTTCTAATAACGAGTTGGTGTTTTGTAATATTGTCTTCAAGTTCTTCACTTATAATTTCAACATTTTTTCCTTTGGATAAATCATTTCCATTGTAAGACCAAATAATTTCTGGTTTAGGGGCGGCGTTTATAATGACTTCAAATACAGCTTTCGTGGAAGGCATAACGATGATATCGCGAAATCCGTTGATTTCTGGTCTCATTACGATGTCTAACCGGGCACTACATTCAGTGGATTCAAATTTATTTTTAGCTTTTACTCGGTATGTGCCAGCGTCACTAAGTTTACAAGACGGGATAACCATTGTGAATGTAAATTCTTTGATACCATAAGAAACTTCTATTGAACGAACTGAAAATTCTGCTGTAACTTCTTTGTCATTCTTAGTCCACTCAATGTCAGGAACAGTAGCTGACTCTAGCGTTATCGACCAAGAAACCGTTTGACCTTTAATACTTTCGAGGTCAGTTAGTGGCTTTTTAATTTTTAGTCCACGGTTCAGCTCCCCCTCATCTGCACGTTTCTCGTCTTCAGTAAGTGTTGATAAAGAACCTCGTTTAGGTTTTACATTCAAATCGTCAGTAGACGGTAGTTTTGAGAGAGATCCTCGCTTTGGTTGTTCACTTTGGTCATCAGAAGAACCTAATTTAGATATAGAACCTCGTTTTGGTTTTTCATTCAAATCTTCAGTAGACGGTAGTTTTGAGAGAGATCCTCGCTTTGGTAGTTCACTTTGGTCATCAGTAGAACCTAATTTAGATAAAGAACCTCGTTTAGGTTTTTCATTCAAATCTTCAGTAGACGGTAGTTTTGAGAGAGATCCTCGCTTTGGCTAGTTCACTTTGGTCATCAGTAGAACCTAATTTAGATAAAGAACCTCGTTTAGGTTTTACATTCAAATCTTCAGTAGACGGTAGTTTTGAGAGAGATCCTCGCTTTGGCTGTTCACTTTGGTCATCAGTAGAACCTAATTTAGATATAGAACCTCGTTTAGGTTTTACATTCAAATCTTCAGTAGATCGGCTAGTTTTGAGAGAGAACCTCTTTTAGGGTGTTCACTTCTTTCATCAATAGAATTGTTTAATTTGAGTTGGGCAATGGCTGTGGTTTCCCCTACTTTGTTCCATGCTTTTACTTCGTATTTACCAGCATATGTGCTATCTACATTTCTAATAACGAGTTGGTGTTTTGTAATATTGTCTTCAAGTTCTTCACTTATAATTTCAACATTTTTTCCTTTGGATAAATCATTTCCATTGTAAGACCAAATAATTTCTGGTTTAGGGGCGGCGTTTATAATGACTTCAAATACAGCTTTCGTGGAAGGCATAACGATGATATCGCGAAATCCGTTGATTTCTGGTCTCATTACGATGTCTAACCGGGCACTACATTCAGTGGATTCAAATTTATTTTTAGCTTTTACTCGGTATGTGCCAGCGTCACTAAGTTTACAAGACGGGATAACCATTGTGAATGTAAATTCTTTGATACCATAAGAAACTTCTATTGAACGAACTGAAAATTCTGCTGTAACTTCTTTGTCATTCTTAGTCCACTCAATGTCAGGAACAGTAGCTGACTCTAGCGTTATCGACCAAGAAACCGTTTGACCTTTAATAATTTCGAGGTCAGTTAGTGGCTTTTTAATTTTTAGTCCACGGTTCAGCTCCCCCTCATCTGCACGTTTCTCGTCTTCAGTAAGTGTTGATAAAGAACCTCGTTTAGGTTTTACATTCAAATCGTCAGTAGACGGTAGTTTTGAGAGAGATCCTCGCTTTGGTTGTTCACTTTGGTCATCAGAAGAACCTAATTTAGATATAGAACCTCGTTTTGGTTTTTCATTCAAATCTTCAGTAGACGGTAGTTTTGAGAGAGATCCTCGCTTTGGTAGTTCACTTTGGTCATCAGTAGAACCTAATTTAGATAAAGAACCTCGTTTAGGTTTTGCATTCAAATCTTCAGTAGACGGTAGTTTTGAGAGAGATCCTCGCTTTGGCTGTTCACTTTGGTCATCAGTAGAACCTAATTTAGATATAGAACCTCGTTTAGGTTTTACATTCAAATCTTCAGTAGACGGTAGTTTTGAGAGAGATCCTCGCTTTGGCTGTTCACTTTGGTCATCAGTAGAACCTAATTTAGATAAAGAACCTCGTTTAGGTTTTTCATTCAAATCTTCAGTAGAAGGCAGTTTTGAGAGAGATCCACGCTTTGGTAGTTCACTTTGGTCATCAGTAGAACCTAATTTAGATAAAGAACCTCGTTTAGGTTTTTCATTCAAATCTTCAGTAGATGGCAGTTTTGAGAGAGAACCTCTTTTAGGGTGTTCACTTCTTTCATCAATAGAATTGTTTAATTTGAGTTGGGCAATGGCTGTGGTTTCCCCTACTTTGTTCCATGCTTTTACTTCGTATTTACCAGCATATGTGCTATCTACATTTCTAATAACGAGTTGGTGTTTTGTAATATTGTCTTCAAGTTCTTCACTTATAATTTCAACATTTTTTCCTTTGGATAAATCATTTCCATTGTAAGACCAAATAATTTCTGGTTTAGGGGCGGCGTTTATAATGACTTCAAATACAGCTTTCGTGGAAGGCATAACGATGATATCGCGAAATCCGTTGATTTCTGGTCTCATTACGATGTCTAACCGGGCACTACATTCAGTGGATTCAAATTTATTTTTAGCTTTTACTCGGTATGTGCCAGCGTCACTAAGTTTACAAGACGGGATAACCATTGTGAATGTAAATTCTTTGATACCATAAGAAACTTCTATTGAACGAACTGAAAATTCTGCTGTAACTTCTTTGTCATTCTTAGTCCACTCAATGTCAGGAACAGTAGCTGACTCTAGCGTTATCGACCAAGAAACCGTTTGACCTTTAATACTTTCGAGGTCAGTTAGTGGCTTTTTAATTTTTAGTCCACGGTTCAGCTCCCCCACATCTGCACGTTTCTCGTCTTCAGAAAGTGTTGATAAAGAACCTCGTTTAGGTTTTACATTCAAATCGTCAGTAGACGGTAGTTTTGAGAGAGATCCTCGCTTTGGTTGTTCACTTTGGTCATCAGAAGAACCTAATTTAGATATAGAACCTCGTTTAGGTTTTACATTCAAATCTTCAGTAGACGGTAGTTTTGAGAGAGATCCTCGCTTTGGTAGTTCACTTTGGTCATCAGTAGAACCTAATTTAGATAAAGAACCTCGTTTAGGTTTTGCATTCAATTCTTCAGTAGACGGTAGTTTTGAGAGAGATCCTCGTTTGGGTTTTTCACTTCGGTCATCGGTTGAATATAATGATATTTTTCTCTTATCGTCAATTTTGTTTGATTCATCACACATACTTAATAGACCATCGCTTATAATACTAGATTGTTTTATTAAATACTCACGGTGACTATAGTTTTTGTTTCTTATAGATGATACATCACTTGTTGCCATAAGTGTTTCTTCTGTGCTATCTTCTTTAGATGAATATTTTGAAAACGATTCTCGTTTAAACAGCTCTCTCTGATCGTCATTGGAGGATAGTCTGGAAATTGATCTTCGGTTTGTAACATCTTTGTCATCATCAATGGATAATAATCTTGATATTGATTCTCGTTTATGAAGGTCACTTTGATCATCATTAGAATAAAGTCTTGAATATGATCCGCGTTTGGTAATTTTACCTTTTTCGTCAGTAGTGGATAGTCTGGAATACGATCCTGGAAGTATATCGTTCGACTTATCAGTCAAGAATGAATTTGTAAGAGATCCACGTTCGGGCAACTTAGTTTGACTATTAATTGAAGATATTTTAGATAACGAATGATGTTCACTCTTTTCATAGTGTTTGCTTAAAGTCTTTTCAGCAGATTTTGGTTTAGCCACCTCCAAATCATTATATTCTTGTTTTGAATACTTTCTACTTAATTTTTCAATCACTGAAATTGAGCCATCATCTATTTCGTCAATCGAAGAATATCTTGATAGAGAATCTCTTTTACTATTATCTGAGGGTGAGGGTATAATATGAGTTTTATTTTTAATTTCTAATATCTGTTCTAAATCACTCCTTTGTTTCTTTACTCGTTTTAATAAGTCATTTAGGGAACTATCTTCATCTTCACTGTTTTCTCTTGATAATATGGAAGCAGATTTTGTTCCTTTCGGTCTATTAGCCATTAAATGTTCGTCTTCGTGTAGTTTGACATTTTCAAACGTCCAAAATGGTTCATCTTCTTCATCTGTGGCAGTATGTATAGATAGTCCTCTATCTATTTTTATTGGTATAATTCTTTCATCTTTAGGCTCTTCGACGAGGCCATAGTAGCTTTTGTGTTTAGTAGAGGATTCCTCCCAACTTATTTCCACACAGCTAAATTCTCCAGACTGGCTGTTTACTATTACTACACTTTCTTCTGAATTTACTACGCAATCACCATCTGTAAACGCGTCAATAAGAAAAACCTAATTTAGGCTATTAAATATACTTAACTATCTGCAGTTTGTCCTTGTTAAAAATATTCTACCTGTTATTCGTGATGATGATATATTAAATTTTCTATCTTCGTTACTCTTTATTTTCACACAGCTCTCAGCAAATCTTTCATCATTGGTATTGAATGTAGGAAACACTAATAAATTGAACAGTACTTTCTATATAACATTTGTGTATGCCATTAAGTAAATAAAAATGTCTAGTAAATTTAAGCTTGTAGCATACATATAATTTTATTTTCTACTAAAATAAAAATGTTTGTAGATGGCTAAACTATTTATACGTATTTTCACCTATTTACACACCTTTACAAGTATAAAAAAACATCCAAACATACCTTTTTCTTTAATGTCTACAGTTTCAATAACTTCTTCGTTAGTTTTTTTTTTCGTGCTTTCATCTCCATCGTCTTTGTAATCAGTTGAATGTTTAGCTAAAATTTTAGTAATGCATGCAAAATCACATTTAAGGGTATCATTGGAAAAATGTATAAAAGTGCATTGGTATTTCATTCCCACACAGTTGGATATAATTTTTTTCTGGTTTAAAAAAAAACTAATTTATTTGTACAATTCAGTACATATTTATTTTAAAAATAAAATGACTGACTCTATGAACAGCGAAGTAAAATATCTATATTAGTTATGATTTACTATAGCCCAAATTAAAGCGAATTCGTCAAAAAAATCTCATAATGACAGCGTTTGCCTACAAGGCCTATTATAGTACACTGCAAAGTATAAGAAAATCTTTAAGTAGATAAAAATAAATTCGTTACTCGATAGCTTATAATTAATGAATCTGTTTTTTCATAAAAGTAATATAAAATATTTAAAAGATATTTTTTAAATAAACTAGTGAACATTTTTTTATTAAATTTTGTATGTACGCCACGCCTAATTTATTTTTATTTGTAATCTATAATACTAAAAATAGTATAACAAAATGTCTTTAAATTTGTGTGTAATAATTGATAATGTGTATTCTACCTTATAAAGGTAAAGTATAAAAAAAGCTCTGAAATACTTTCAAAGTATTTATTGTATTGATTTCATTATTTTCTTCGCTGTTCTATTTTTTAGTCTAACCAACAAAACTATAAATTGTAAACATATATTATTTACCTACCTAATATATTCACTATGCTTTTAGTAACTGCTGTTCCCATTTCATTAGTAGCTCTAACTTCATACTCTCCACCATCTTCAAGTTTCACGAGATTAACGGTAAGACTGAAGTTTTCTACCCTTTTAGTATCTCTAGAGATTTTAATATGAGCATCACTTCGTACTTCTTTACCATCCTTAAACCATTTGATTTCTGGAGGCGGACTACCATGACAAATTACTTGAAGTTTAAGCAACCCTCCTTCAGTTACATCTATGTCTTTAAGACCTTTTTTGAACATAGGTTGAGCTAAACAATAAAATAAAACTCAGTAATGTATAGTTATATCGGTTTACCTATGTATCTTACACATAACGGTAAGAGTTGCTTCTGAGTCATATGTGCCAATTTCATTTGTTGCTCTGCATTTATATTTTCCAGCCAGTTTTGTTTTAGCTTCTTTAATTATTAATTTATAATTATCACCATCTTCAATACATGTAAATTCGGTTGTTGTCTCTGTTATTTCTTCTTCTTCGCGGAACCTAGTATATTGTATTCTATATTATACCTAATTACGTACGATGTGTATTTTTTTAATATCTCTTATAGTACCAGGAAGTTGGGAAGATATGGAAAGTTCCCGTTATCTTCCCGACATTAAAAAAAACATCAATAACACTACTGTATTTGGGTACTTCCAAGTTCCAACTATGGACATTCGGAATGTGTAAGGTAGCTCCTTATTTAATGTCGAAAAAATAATGGGATCTTCCTATTGGCTTCCCAACTTTCCGGTGGTATTAGGGATAATTTACCATTGAACTGTTGGTTTTGGATAAGAATTTAGCTGTACAGTAAATTCTACATTTGTGTCACCTTCTACTGCTTTTGTATCATTTAATGGAGTTTCAAAAATCGGCGGACATCTCACAAATAGTTTTCCGTCACTAGTATTTTTGCCAGATTCATTACTAATCTCGCAAGTGTATTTACCGGAGTCGTGTCTTGTTATATTACTGATCAATAGAGTATGCACATCGCCTTCAGAATTTAATTTTATATGTGTGTTATCAGCAACAATTAACTTATCATTAAAATACCTAAATAATAATAATAATATTGAGTGGTTATGAAAATAGTTAAAAATTAAAACATAATCACTTATTACCATTTGACTTCTGGTGGTGGATCACCTTCTACTCGAACACTTAATGATACATAATCTCCTTCTAGAGTTTCGACTTCTTTAGATAGAGCACCTATAAACTGTGGAGGCATTTTAAGGTCTACTCGGCATGCATCAGATATTTGACTATATTGATTTGAAGCGACTACAGAGTACAATCCAGCGTCTTCCATTTTTGAGTCCAAAATAATCAAAGTGTAACTACCGGATACTTCGTCATTCACGTACTTTATTCTACTTGATTTCTTTATGGTTTTACTATCTTTATACCTATTTTAAAAACATGTCAATAGTCTCGCACTACTAAATTCACAAATATGTTATTTAGAATATACAGTGAAATTATAATCACTACTGACTTACCATTGAACTATTGGCTTTGGAGATGCTTCAATTTCAACCGTCAAAGAAATGTCTTTACCAGTGACGCCGTCATAATCTGATAAATTCTTTTTAAACCTTGGAGCCGCTTTTATTGCTAAATTAACTGTTTCTGTCTCGGATCCTATTTCATTTTTAGCAACAATTTGGTAATCTCCTTCGTCCTCAACTTCGACATTTTTTATCACTAATGTAGATGTATTTTCTTCATACATAGTTTTTATTCTTTCATTTTCTTCGACTTGTATACCATCTTTAAGCCATATAACCTCTGGTTCTGGATCACCATAAACTTTAGCTTCTAAAATCGAGGTACTTAGAATTTTAGTCTCAAATTCTTTTACTTCTGCAATTATTTTTGGAGCGTATGGTTCATTCTTTCTTTCCATAACAATACCTACAAAAAATTATTTTTTAATAAATTTCATTTTCGAAAACATCGAATCACGTTTATAGTTAAACCGAAGTCATAATTAATATAATATTATGTGTTTTACAATAATTTTATAAAAATGATAAAGTACAAACTTATGTTTGAATTCCCCTTACCCAACTATAGACACATTATATTAATTTTACAAACAACAACTATTTTAATCATGCTTTTCATATTCACCTTGTACGTTTAATTCGGCACTACATGATATTTTTCCATGAGACGTTGAAGCTATACAAGTATACAAACCGGCATCTTCCGGTTTAACGTTTTGAAAAACTAACGCTAACGAATCTTCGTCGTCTCTAAATAATACTTTAAACCTGTCCTCAGGGTTAAATGGCTTTCCGTTTTTCAGCCAAGTAAATTTTGGTGATATATCCGGAGTATGATTTTCTAATCGCGCCCATAAATCTTTTTCGCCTAAAAAAAATATATTAAGCCATTAATAATTATATAAATACATTATGCTCGTTATTTAAGTGTCATTTGTAAATAGCATACTAGTCACAGTCACAAAGCACGAGCACGACTCTTCCGAATATTTGTTACTGGCTATGACTCTATACTCTCCGGCATCTTCTGGTTTAACATCGGGTATGACTATCTCATATATACCCTTTTCTTTATCAACTACCAAAACTTGAATTCTGTTGTCATCGTTCAATATTTCGGTGTTTCCTTTGTAGCTAAACATTTAAATAATTTTACTACATCACACAGTTGACTTGAAATTATGATAGAGTATGTATGAAACGTGAGATCAACATACAATTTCATTTTAGGCGCCGGACTTCCTTTTATTTCAATCATGAACCTTGCGTGTGTATTTTCCAAAAGTTCAGCATCCGAAAGTTTAACAGCAAATAATGGAGCATTAGCTTTAGCTCTTGATTTTTTTTCGTCAGTAGTAACTAAAAAAAAAAAAGGCTCCAAATTAATTTTATACAGAATTGAGTTATATTAGCTATATCTTACGATTTTCAACAAATAATTGTGTTGTGCTGGTTGATGTCCCAATAGCGTTCTCAGCTTTAATTGTGTATGTTCCTGAATCTGATTCGATTACTTTATTAATTTGCAGTTTGTAGATATTGTTATCTTTGTCTTCAGTAACTGAAATTCTATGAGTCATGCTACTTGGTAAAGGCATGTTATTCTTCAACCAAGTAACACTATTAGCTCCTTCCACTTGACATTCAAAAATAGCATTTTCGCCAGCTAAAAATAAATTAAACAATTTTTGTTTTAAATTAAGTTACTATTAAAGTTTTTATAATAAATAAAAACAGCGTTTAATATAATAAAACAAACGTCTGAATCTTATTCGAATGCGTTTAATTTAAGCAAAATACTAGGTACTATTAAAGCAAAATTTGAAGCAAATCTAATTTTCCAATACTCTGACGTGTTTATCACCTTCGAGAGAAGATTCAATATTGCTTGTTCTTCCAGATTTAAATTCACCCTTAGTATCCCACCATTCTTTATATTCTTCAAAAACACCTTTTCATCGAATATAACGTTATAATAATATTTTAATGAACAATAAATATGAATATTTAATAATATATATTATAGAAGTCATTAATTGTACACTGTATTGTAATATTGTAGTAAACTAACCTCCATGATTGGTTCCTGTAATATTGGTATGAAAATAGGGTTTTGATACGCCCTCTATGTATTTGAGTGGCTCAGATTCAATTTCTTCTTCAGCTGGTGAAGGTGACCTTTCAGGAGGAGGACAAGGAGGAGGTTGCTCCATAACCTCTACGGGCGGTTCCTCAATAGTTTTAACCACTTCTACTACTTTTTCTTCAATTTTCACTTCTTGTTTAACCGTCTCTAAAACTTAATTTATTATTTAACTTTAATATTTAGTTGAATTTTATAATAGAAATTTTAGTTTCACTAAAATATAATTATAACAAATAAACGTACTTTCAACTATTTCTTCTTTGGGTGGTTCTGGTTTTTTGTTATCTACTGGTGGCGGTGAAGTGCATTCAAAGATCGGTTCTTTAGGGGGAAGGGTCAGTGGTGGACGTTTTGGTTCTTCAACGTGCTTTAGCGGCTTAGGTGCCAGTCGTCGTTCAATGGGATCTAATCCTTCTTCAATTTCAGCAGAAATATCCAATTCAATACCTTTAAGCGGTTCGAATAGATCTTCGTCTTTCTGCTTTTGTACTTTGATGTCGTCACTATTATGCTCTATTTTCGTCACTAAAATGTAATAGAACTACTATTATAATTGTGTTTAATTGCTGGACAAAGTTTTTACACAATACTTATTTCCAAATATGTTAAATCGGATTATGTCATAAAACAATAAAAATTGAAAACCCAATGTCAAGTATTAGTGTAAGCGTTGTTTAACTATTTAGTATTCAATTACTGTAGACGGAAAATAATTTTAACATTACAAATATACGAGATTCTTATAGTAAACATTACTTTTATAAATACATGTGTATCGTATATTTATGAATATTTGATTTATGATTCCTCGGGTGTTAACGGATATCCGTAGTTTATCACTATTCTGAAATTCGAATATTAAATAAGTATTGACACGGTATCGTTGACTATGTACTACCCGGGTTTTACCATTTTTAGACACAAATTATAATAAACAGATTGTTTCGCAAAATTAAGAACAGTACTAAACAATGTGTTTTAATATCTTGTATTATTTAGGAGGCCGACACCCAAACTATGTCACCACCAAGTTATATATGAATTATTTTAACGTGTGCTTAATTTTATCTTAATTAATTAAAATATTTGAATCCCCGGATGTTTGCTTGAATCTATACATATCCGTGTAAGTTAGCTAGATTTTTTAAACTATTCAAATTTTTGTCCTAACTATAGGTTAAACGCACACGGTTTTTTCATACACTCCAATAAACGGTAATTTTTAATAATAAGCGAAAATGATAAAAAGCTAATAAAGCGATTAAATATATTCGTTATTATCGCCATTTGTAATTAACAAGCATCTATAGATACAATAGTTTATAAATGATTTGGCTTATGCAAAAAGGGTCCTTATCACTTTTATTTAATTTTGAGAAAATTAAAAAATACTTCCCAGTTCTTTCATGAACCAAATCAAATATTTAACAGACCATATATTTGTTATACATTTAAAATATTATGTTACAAAACGATTAAACTGCTCAAGTATAAAGATATTGAAGCCAATGTGAAGCGTATTTATGTATTGTTGTAAGACCTGAAATAGATGATTCACTTATTGTTTCCGTTATAGAAACACTATCTCTTTCCCAATATTGTTCCTTCAGTTCTTCTAATTCACCTTTTTAAACCCAAACATTTTTTTTATAATCTTGTTTTAATTTACAAATTATAATGTAATTAATAATGTTATTAATTAAGTATTGTTTTTTTTTTTACTTTTATCTTATTATTTCCAACCAATAAATATAGGTATATACTCACGCAAATCATTTTGATGATCATTTATTTCAGTAATCCACTGGTCTCTACTTATGTCTTCGTTAGCCCTAAACGTAAAAGGGTAATTTCCTACTTCGCCTTGACTATGGTGAAGTTCCCACACACGTTTATTGTCAGGCGATGGCTTCACAGTTACTTCAGGCAGCTAAAAAATGTAAATAAAAATGTTCAAACTAAAATAGGACATAATAACACCAAGTGAGTGTCAATTCCTCTTACTCTGATTATGTCTTTCAGTACAAATACAGACCGATCTTCAGAAATTCGTCGAACTTTACACACGAGTATTCTCGATTTGAATAAGAAACAGTAACGTTGATGTCCTTTTGGATCTTCAGCGTCTTGAACGTAATACCATCCCTTAATGAATATTTATAAAATTGTATTGACATTAAAAACAATGCGTGCTTTACAAACTTTGTAAAAAGAAAAATGAAATAACGGTTTTAGCAATTTGTTATTGTTGGATTCCGCCGAAATAGGAGCATCTATATATCCACACTTGACCTTGCCGTTGTATTTTTAACTTTTCAGTGATATTACGTGACGTAGTTATTCTACTTACGTGTTTTAATAATCGTCCTAATTTATGAATAGTACCGTGATATCCTTCTATGTTCGTTAAAAATTTCGTGTCGTTAAATCTATGTGGAATCGATAGCATCAACTCAAGAGCCCTTTCTAAGTCGGTGGTGTCTTCTCCAATTAGCAACGAATACTTGATTAGTTCCTTATAACATACATACGTTTGTACATTAATATGATACCTTTGAAAAACTAATAATATACTTCGTGGTTTTATTAAGAAATTGAAATTAATTCCTATTTTAAAATTCGACTTGTTGATAAATGATTATTATTATTATTTTAGTGGCGAGTTGATCCCACATTACAAGCCCGTAATGAGATTATGTGTTTAAAAGTATTTCTTTTTTCACACTTCATATGTGAGAGCGAGTATAAAATTGTATACATAAAATGTCTAAAATAATTTCAACACGCCACTATTATTTGTTAACATAATGAGCGAATAATGAATTTTTATTATAAAAATTTATTATGCGAATGACATGATATGATAGACTTTTACAGTTTTTTTTTTTTCAAAAGGGCAGAAACTTAGTTTATAAATCTATAAATATTATTTACAATAACTATAAAAAAATGATCACTAAATCGAAAAATGTTTTTCTTAACATATTTTAGTTTGTCTTAGGTGTTTATAAAACAATTCATTTTAATATTCAAATTGAATGTCTATTTGTTTTACTAACAGATTCTATTATGGTATTTATCACACTGAAATAAATAATATTCCATGTCGAACATTTTCACTAACCTTTAGTAAAAGCTGATAATCATTAATACGTTGAATCGGTAACTTTAAATGTTCAGAAAGTTTTTTGTCATCGCTGCATTTTAATCGTTCGTTCTGTAAAATAAATCTAACTGTTAAATTTGTTTAAGTATGATTTTCGATAGAGTTTACTCTTATTCTTAATCTCTTATTCACTGGTGACCGAATTTCGACCTGACAACGGAGAGAGTAAAAATATACTAGTGATGAATTTTAAAGAAATCGTCAAAACAAGCGTGAGGCGTATGTATAAATAAAAAAAGTAGAGTTCGCAGCTCTTCCGTTATAGTACGGTATATAAATAAATAATCGTAGATCTGCTATCTTAAAATTATACACGGACATTGTATTTGATTTCGCAAGAATATCTGATGTACCACAACTTATCTAAATGATAAAAATGTATGTAATATAATTTTACAAAGTCCTTAATGTATCTTGTAGTGTATATGCTTATAATTATTACAACAATTATTTCTAGCTAATGCACTAATTAGAGTTAAAAATAATGTTTAATGTTTTGTATTTAATACTTGTGGATAGCCGGCAGATATGCCTCATGATAGTTATATGTCTATTTTAAGAGTGTAGCGTGCTATAAAAAACCAACAGTTTTAAAAGCAACTATATAATATGATTTTATTTTATTTTGCACGAAAAATATTGAGGTTTAAAACGATTACTACACTGTCTATTTCCAGCTGAACGTTTTTGCAAGTTGCAAGTGGCAAATAGCCAAAAATTAGTATATTAAACTCATCATTGTAAACCTTCATATAAAAAATAAATTTAATTTCGAATATTAAATAATCTACGAGCATTAAACATAAAAATGACTTAAATGTATAGATTATTTTTTGAAAACGATAATATTGTTATTTGTTGTAAACATAATATGTTGATTGTTATTTGAAACGAGAACGACTTGTTGACATTTTCGTTTTGCATATAATATTACACACTCGTTTATCACTTTATTATAGGGAATGACATCGAACGTATATGTTGGATATTGAACATATCTTTTATAAAAATAGTACATGATTTCAATTTGTCAAATTAAAAGCATTCTGTAAATAATTTTTTAAAAACTAAAATATATAACTGTGTTATTATAATATAAATGTAATACTCATTTAATAGTATTTTACTCACTTGACAATCAAATTAGTTTTATCATATCTGATTAATACTACATTAGGCTACCCATTTCAAACGTATCTCTTTCAAGTATAATATTAGAAAATTAACTAATTTACCACCCGATATTAAAGGAAAGTACTCGTTGGGTAATAAAGTATAGTTTTAAAATTGTGAGGAAATTCGTCTATATTGATCATGAGTTGATACGCAGGGGGTTAAGTGTAAGGTTGCACAGCAAGCTAAGTAGGCTGTACAGTTAACATAGAAACCGAATTAAAAACATTAACGTTCTACTTTTTTTATTCGTATACCAATACATTAAGATATATGGACACTTTTCTGTGTCAATGAATTCTGAATACCAAAAAAGGCTTCAACAGAAAAAAAACAGTACAGTGGGGTCGAGGCATAGTGGGGACGGGGAGGTCACAGGTTTACAGGGATTTTTAAATCTGAAAGTGATAAAATCAATTTCGAAAAAACGCTTCGATGCAAATCGGTAGTTAGTATTTTCAAGCCAGTACAGTCCAAACCAAGCACAGTATAAACCAGCAAAGTTAGAAAGTTTTAAATTAAGGTTCTGTATTTACAAATGAGCATCAAAGCGTTAATTTGAAAGTGATTTTATCCGAGAGGACTAGTACAGTAGAGTATAGGCATAATGTAATCAAAGCAATAAGGAAACGGAGAGGTCACAGGTCTACAGGAATTATTATAAATAAAAGTGATAAAATTGAATAAAATCACTTTCGTTGTTTTAAGATAAAACTGTAGGAAATGCTTTAAAATTCAAAATAGTTCAAGCACAAACTATTAGCTAATCAATTATGTTATAATTTATAAGGTTTCCACAACATTAATTTTGATTATGAGGAGAGGCATCATAACAATAGCAAAAATCCCACAGATTAATGAGAGGGAACTGATAATAATATTGAAAATATAATAACAAAATAGTTTATTACTTCACTTAAATATTTCTATTTTTCTAGAAGTAATTATTAACTATACAGTTTATCAGAGTAACTAGTATTCAAGAATATATTGAGTTAAAATAATAATATATTGGATACATTTCTTGCTCGACAGAACTGACAACATGAAAAGATAAACGTTTTAAAATTACCCTATTCGACGATGGAAAAATAATTCTTTAATTTAAGTTTAAAGTTGAATTGCATCGATTGTTGAATAATATAATTGCTCAACCTATTCCAGTCCTAGGTTGTTACGTGTAGTGTAAATTATTAAACGGAATTGTTCCGAAAAATTACTTTAAAAACTAACAAACCAAGTAAACAGCTACCACACTAGTAGAGTCAATAGGGATCTTGCCTTAGTAATAGTTTAACAACCCAGCGTTTAATAAGAAGAAACAATGGACTAATCTACCATATAAGCCAAACGTTGTAGCCCCAATTCACCAAAAAAACCATTATCTAATTATTTATTAAAGTACCTTTCAAAACATTTAATATAGCAAAACATAACATTCTGTTTTATTTTCTATTATATTAACTATTAAAAATTAACATTGGCAACTGGCATTTATAACTTGCATGTTAGCAAGTATGTTAACTTGTTAAGTGTTAACAAATAGTATACGAATGTTATGGATGTCGAAAACCACAAGTGTGTGTCTGAATTTTATTTCAGAAAGCATTATGGTTTTTAAACATTTAAACGTGAGCTGGTAATGTCCATAATATTTACCATTAAACAATTTATGTACAATTAGTATTTATAAATGTACGTTATATCTATACACTAACCTCAAAGTATTCATGTACTTCGTAGTTGTCTTCAAGGTAATCTTGTGCATCTGGTTCTGTTTGACAGTAATTAACGTGCCTATCGAAGTCTCGTTCCTATAAAACGGTAAAACATTATTAAGTTAATATTGTTGTGGTTTTCATACATCACTAAAAATAACATTTTTTTATAATGATTAAAGAAATTTTAGCGATCGCTAGTATAAAATGAAGAATCAACATGTAACATGTTTAGACTGCTACACAAGTGGTAAGTTAAAATAACAAAATTAGAATATAAACCATACTTTATTAAGTATCCTCATTTCCTCTTTTCATCAACTATACACCAGTACTTACCTTTATTTACTAGTTTTGTACTTAGCCTACTCAATTAATTCCTTCCATTTATATAAATTAATGTAATTAATAATACAACCAAATAATTTAATTTACCTTAACATTTTAAATTTAAATTTGTTTTACTAGATTTTTATTTTTTTATTTTAGGTAATTGTAATGATTTAAAAAAAAGATAAATAGTAGTTCACCTAACTACTTGCAATATATGAATATTATAATGGTATAACATTTGTATGACTCCCAGGGAAACAAATAGAATTATACAATAGCAAATTTATTTAATAAAGATTAAAAAAACAATGCAAATAGCTATAGATTTTAGAAATCCGAATTATCTGGATCTTATAAATATGCAATTATTAGATCCAAATTTTACATATTACTCCGGTTTCTTATTATAAAAACTTTTAGTTAGTAACGCAAGTATATTATAGTGTTGCCCATGTTATATTTACTCAGTATATTTATTCTTTAACATAAATAAGAAATTACTTTGTTATAATGCAGTATAATAAGTATCCTGGTTTTAAACATTTGTATCATTCAAGCGAAATATATATTTTTATTTATTATTCCTCTTAATTGATCATAGATACTTAAAAATTATATTAAAAAATATATTCAAAGACATCTCTAAGTACTTAATGACGAATTTTATTTAGTTTTTACATATTTTAAGCATCGTCAAATTGAATATAATTTACTTCACGATAGAAGTTCTTACAGAGCTATAACTTATAGTACTTTATTATTATTTACAATTAATATTTAATTTGGTCGGTAAATCAGGTGCAACACGATTGCGAACGTTTTTACTTACTATCTCTCATGAAACGTCGCCGTATGGAGCTTATCGATAACTACACAATATTATAACGAAAGTAAATCTTAAATAATGGTAATCTTCTACAAAATCGCTATATTTGACAATATCGACTAAGAATTTTCCGATAAAATTGTTGTCATCATACGGTAAAAATACCGATGTTGTGTATACAAACTTTCATTTGGTTAGTGTTTATCACGAATTGGTGATCGGTTGTATGTGTATGTTTGTTATTTTAGAATGTATTTTACACAATTATAATTATTTAAACATTTTAAATTACCCAACACTGCAGTACTTTAAATTGTTAAAAATAAAATATACTAATTTGAAACAAGGAGAGAACTATAAAAATTTGTGAAAAATTGAGATTACATTGTATATAAAAGCTTTACGGAAAAAAATAATTTAAAAACTAATTAAACCCTGTGAGTTATCACTTTAAAAACATCACTCTGTACATTTATAAAAGTTTTGGTATATTTTGGCCGAAAAAGTGCCACCTACTATTATTTTTATACGATTTGATAACGTCGCACGGCAAATGGTTGGCAATCGTTTGATTTTTGGCAATAAAATAGTTATTCTTTGATCTTCCGACAATCATTCGAAATCGTGTACCACCGAGTACATCATAATTTTTCTGTAACTTCATTACAATATATCCCCTAAGTACACTTAATGACAAATTTTATGTGGTTTTTCGCCATACATGCTCAAGTTTCTATTCTACATTTGACTATTGAACACCAAAGTTGTTCAAACACCTCCCCAAAGAAAATGTGGGAGGTTTTTTTTAAATATTTTAGGTACATGTTACATAGTTTAGTGTCACAAGTGTCATAAGCGCATTTTTTTTTCGACAAACTGAGTTGTATGTATTGTGTAACATTTTGATACATAATAACATTGCACACATAGTGTGAAAATATTGAAGGCCAACCAATCAAAATGTTTGCTGCTAAAAGCCGTGCCATGTTTATTAGGCAAATAAAATAATATAGCATTGTACATTTTCAAACGGCGTTTCTATAAAATAATAATAAAAAAGATTTTATGAAACAATGTTATAGTTTCAGTGGATCCAGTCTTGATTTCAGTCTTTATATTAAAAAAATGTACCATATTACAATAATTGTTAAATCGAATATGTTTTCTTTATTTTGAAGTTGGTGGGTTCGCAGTTAGGGTTTGAATTTTAAAACATAAATTGATAGATAGAATTGATTGATTTGTTTTTTATTAGAAACAAGTAGAAAGGATTCATGGCAACAGGACTTCATGCATAATAGGTATTAGTGAACTTACCAACATTGTAAATAATAATATTATACTATTCAACGAAGCAAAAAATATAATACATGTGATTATGTGTTGTACCTACTTTGATTTATGACAGTCTACGAGACATGATTAATTTAAAATTTTAAGAAATGTTATTAAATTATTAAAATTTAATTTGAATACAACTTTATAACTATCCCAGTATTTAAGATACACATGTAAGCGGACCTTAATATTATTATAAATCAAAATGCTTTAATGTTTAGTAACAATATATACATTCCTATCCATATTACTACATAATTATATAGGTAGGTATTAAAACATAATTAGAAATCTTATTTCTAAATAATCTTCAAAGTAAACGTTTCAAAAACTGGCATGCATTAATTTGGAATACGCTGAACATCGTTGAGCTCATTTAAGTAGCTTTCAATTTAAACTTACAAGGCGCAAGAAAGTTCTTCCCATTGTTTTTGGTTCACTAGCAGCATATTTTAACCCAGAAATGAGTACTCTGTAATAAGTTACATAAATATTTTGTCAATTGAACAATAAAATAGAATTTAAATTTAAAAAATACTTACGTGTTATGAAATTGTGAAATTTGTTTTAAATTGTTGAATATGATATCTTTACTATCTCTGACCAATCTAGGAGCATCATTTCGTTCAATTGGATTTAAATACCTTTCTACTACTTCTTGAATATCCTGGCCAAATTCCTCTTCAGTTTCTACTAATTCAGCGAGAACAACACTGAAAAGTTATACAATTATTATAAAATTTTCAAAACAAAAACCCGAAGGGGTCAAAATACATATAAATGCACCATCTTACTCTCTATTGAATTTTGCATCTTTTTTTGATAATGTTTGGCCAAACTCAGGAACTATAGCTGAAGCTTTTACTGGAGCAGGTATTTTTTTAAGTATACTATTTGGTACGTATCCCATTTTTGTAGGCTCGTCGACACTTTGTACCAGTGACCTAAAATGACATTAGACATATTTATTAGTTTTATGTTATATTTTAATGATATAATTCATTTTAATTTGTACAAAGTAATATTATTTAATAAATTCACAAGAGGCTATTTTTTTTTGTATCATATTTTAACTATTGTTATTGCTAATAGTAATAGAATAACTTTTCTAAGCATCTTTTGAATTCTGAAATAATAATAAATTCAGACATATGCTAAATCCGCCTTTTTTTACCTATAATCTATTTTTGGCTTTGCCAGTATATAGACGTATATGACTCATATGTTTTTTGCTAACGTTTTTTTGATAAACCAATCTGGCAAATTTCCAATTAAGTAAAAATGTGTTCAACAGATACCTATTATCATGGTTATTTTTATTATTAAGATAAAATATTAAATTATATCATATGCTCTTTTAAAACAAAATGTATTTTAAAATTCGCCAAATAAAAATAATTATTTTATCTGTTGACGCTCGGTGCTCTATTAACGATTTGTTTATATTATTTAATTATTTTTTTTATTTGATTCTTTTGATTTAATAATTAAGAGTTGAAATAGGTAGTTTATACATAAAATAAAAGTTTGATTAATGTTTAATTTACTAAAGTTTCTTTTCTTAGTGGGAATTTAGTTCTAAAATATTTTATTTTTGTATAACAATCAAACCATTTAAATATAGGTACATACCAATTATATATATTTTTTTTAATTTAAAACTGAATTAATTTAAAAATATGTATATTTTATGTCTATTTGCCAGAAAAAATAAAGATAAAATGTTTATAAAACTAAATACAAAGTAAAAATATGTTAGAAACGACTAGAAAAAATTTGTTTTGAAACAAAGAAATTAATAATACTTACAAAAGTAAAAAAAACAATGTGACGTGTTTATTATTTTTAGAATTATAAAGAATAATATGGTTTAGTTATGTTTAAATAATTGTTTGAACAGTCAAAGATGTCAACATGTTAATTAAATCGCTTCGTAGTATACGTAAATAATACTACTAAGAGATACTAATCCGAAAAAATTAAAACAAGCAATATTAAAGTATAATATATACCACACTGACAATGAGTATTTATTTTATTTTTATAGGTTAATAGAAATAGTTACTACATAATAATAATCATAACTATAAAACATATACAATTTCTATACTAGCAAATGGTAAAAAATCACTGTAGAAAACTTTTTTATATATTTAAAATTATTATGATTATCTCAAAAATTTCATATCGACGTTTTTAGGCGATAGAGGCAATTTCCGATTTGATTTTTTTGTTATTCTGAACAAAATAAAGAATGTATTTCTGTAAAAATATGTACGTAGGTTTATGGTTATTTATATTTCCCGAAAAATGATTTTCCCATCGTTGTAAATGCGTAGGATCCATTTTTTGATGTTGATTGTATGGTTCTATAATTCAACCAATCGTGACAACAAAAAGTAAAGAAAAAACAACGGGTTTAGATTAAAAAGAAATACTCTTTCAATTGTGTGCTAATTGCTATGTGTTTCAGCAAAATTCGTTAAGCAAAAATAAAATTATGTATTATTTGATATGAATTATGAAATGTGGGTGTGCATTTTTATATTTTTTTTGTACGCACTACCCTCTTTTTACAAAACGTAACTTTTTTTAACAAACTCGGTATCATAACACTATTCGCTTCAATATTTTTTAAAGCAAATAAAAAAGGTCGTCTTAAAGATAAAATTACTTAATTTAAATCACTGAACAGAAATTAGGCAAATTGTAACCTCTATCGCTAAAAACTTTAAAAAAAACTATTTTTAATTACAATTTTTCTAAAGGGACATTGTTTTATTTTATACACAAAAGTTGTAAAATCTGTCCGCTACATGGTATAACTATAATAACTTAGGTAAAATCAAATATATAAATTATCCAAAAATATGCATCCTGCCACAATTTATAACAGAAGAAATATACCGTATAAATATTTTTCTATAAAATTAATGGTTAATAATTGTTTACTATAAAATATTTATACAATAAACTTAATAAACTTAAGTGACTGAATACAAAAAAAAACCGAAATTACTATAAATAGATCTCGGGAAAGAGAACTTCTTATCGGCCGGCTACAAAGTCGCACAATTCAAAGTGATTACACTTTGTAAACTAAAAACATTGGTCAATTTGTTACTTCAAAGATTAGGTCTAAAATTGTTAAAAAATCAATCAATATTCAGAAAATGAGACTAATTCAATTTTTGAAAATACAGATAGGTCACTTTCCTCTTTTCGGAAATACAATACGAATTTCTTACAAATATTTTTACGGTTATCGATTAGAAAATATTGTTTTTTTAAATTTATAAGTGATTTAAAAAAAAAAAGACATAAAACATCATTTAAATAATTGATGTTTTATAACAAACAATTGTTTGTTATAAAAAATTTCGCGAATTAATTACTTAATACACTATTTGTCAAAAAAAATTTTTGTTTCAAAGTGAACTTACGTTTAGGGGTTATACTTTTGTCAGTACTTGGCATTGATATTGCAAGATAGTGGTTAATAAATACTTAGACAATTATTATTAAAGGCTCAATTGGACTACATTTGATTAGGAAAACAAAGCATCATTTCATATGTAGACGTACATGTTTTCTTTTTTTTGTATTGAATTAACATACAAATTGTTAGTACATAAATAGAATAAAATTATACAAGATAAATGTATATTAGAACAAAGTATTTTTTTTCTACAAGATTTTAGTACACAAAGCAGCATTAAGTAGATAACAACGCGTTAAAATCCACCAGCGACAATATTAAGATTCGTTTTACCCGTCCATTTCCAAGGACTTGTGTTTGACCGGATGTACTTTATTTGGCCGTACTGACATTTTGTGTTTGGCTGCTGAATTGTCCAATAGAAGGTTTCGTTTTACCACCACGTCCCTGATAACAGATTACATGTAAAGAAGGCTGTAACGTTTTCAAATAGAAAACAACTTTGGCCTTGTAAACCAGCACTGTTCGGTAGACAAATCATGTTTTGACAGTTGTAAAATCGTTGCCAGAAAAGCGCTAAATATAGGCACTTCGTCGGCCTCAAGTCCATTTTAAATTTAAAAAAAAATTGAACGATGACGTCTGAGGACAATACGTACTCGCCAAAAGTCATGGCTTCTTTATTTTCTTCAATGAACTCAGCGGCTACCGCCACAGTACGCTCTTGTGTTATAATTATAGTTTAATTTATTAACGCAGTTTAGTTCATGATCATTATAAATGTACTATATTTATTTTTACGATCTACTTTATACAATTGTATAAAATAATTATTTATTAACATTAGTATTAATATTAAAATAAGAAATTAATAGTTAAGTTTAAAAATAATGAAAATATATAAAGAATTATTTACAATAATACGAATACAACTCAACTGTATATAATATTATGTATGAAATGACTTACATTGAAGGATCATTTTTGGCCTGTTTTAATACAACCACTTTGTCACCCGGTTCTAAAATTAATTCGTCTTCTTCATCAGCACCTTCAACAGGTTCTGATTCATATTCTTGTAATACTTCATACTCCTCACCGCCGCCCTAAAAATAAAACATACAACATTAATACAATTTTAAATTTGTCATATGCAATAATCAATAATTTGTCTAATGCAAAATAATACATAATAAGACCAATTCAGAACGTAGACAAATTAGTATAATTTATGTTAACCTCTCCGTTTGTTAATGGTTTTTCTTCCAAACTTATTGAACTGTCTCGAGTAAGTGTCCCTTCGTCTTCAGTTAACGTTCTTTGAAGAGCACAATTGTACATAGCATATCTTCGTGGAGTAAAAGCAGGCAGTTTTAAAGCATCTAACACATTCATTGGTTCAAAACGATGTATGCCCTTTTCATCCAAAACTGAATAAGGAACTTGTCCCGTCAACACTGATCTTGATGCCTCTCGTGGTACAACTGCCTGAAGTCCATTTTTGATTATAAGCAAAATGCCCATTCTTCTTGATTTCACCAAAAAATCTTCCATTGCTAAACTGTTTCTAGGACTAAATAGTTCTACAGGAACATCAAAAGACGTTTCGACTTTTGCTTCAGGAGAAAATAATAAAATTGCACTTTCTCTGACCAGCTCACGTAAATTTGGATCCATTCTAGCTTCATGTGGATCTGCAGACATTCCTTTTAAAGTTTCTTTGAAATCAGGTCTCCTTTCTGCGAGTTTTCTCATTACCGTTAACCGTCTTAGTATGTCAACCGTTATTTTATCTGATGCTAATATATCAGTAGACCGGCGATCATCAAGTATATCCATAAGTATAGATGCAACTTCTCTAAGTCCAAGAGCCTTAGCAAGTGCAACAGCATCAGATATAAGTTGTTTGAAACTCTCACTTTTTTTGTCCCTTAATACTTGATTTACGCTGAAATTACTAGCTTCATTAACAACATTGATGATGGCGCATTGTAATGCTTCGATTGCTTCTCTCTCAGTGTTAACATTTTCCATATTTATTTTTAATTTTACTTGATTTAGTAGTTCTATATTTTCGTCAGTGATGTGTTCGAATGCTGAACGAAGTTTGGAATCTTCTATTTCGTTAAGAATTTCATTGAATGCTTCCGCGATATACTTAGGCTCGAGTTCAAAACTATTCATTATTCCTTTTAAAATGTTAACTTTGTTTGGATTTTTTAGATCTTCAATAAATCCATCATCAAATAATACCGCATACATTTCGTTTAAAGCAGCAGTGGGGCTAGATTTTGCAGTCATGAGTATACTTTCAATGAGATGGCCAACAGTTTCGTTTGATTTATTTTTTGGCAATTTTTTTATAAGTGATTGTACTAATGATGATCCATAATATGCGTTTTTTATTTCTAGTTTACATAACCGATTAATAATATGCGCTAATTTAATAGTAGATTCATTATTAAGTTCTAATTTTTCTGAGACTTCCCATGCAGCGGTCATTGAAGGCAAGGAACTTACATCAACCGCTGGTAATTCAACTGGAACATGACGTCCAATACTCATCCCTGCTAATGACAATTGTTCCAACATTTTTGAATCTAGGGCCATTTCACGACTTTGAGTAAAATATGAAGTTTGTAGAATATTAGGTTGGAGAACTTTAAGTTCTTCTGGAGGAACCTCAAATCCTTGAACGCTGAACTTGCAGTCACCATCTTCTGCATCGTGAAGATCAGGAGCTATAAATTTTAAGCCTTCAGTGGTTTCAACTATTTGGCCAGGAATAAAAGTAACTCGATCGCCTGTTTCAATAACTCTACCTGGTACAAATCTAGGCCCTTCAGCTGTATTAACAACTTGTCCTGGAACAAATCTTGACCCTTCCTCTTCCGTAAATATTATTTGACCGGGTATAAATGTAGGGCCTGCTTTAGTTTCTACTATTTGACCAGGAACAAATTTCACACCATCTTTTGTTTCTATAGTTTGACCTGGTACGAACTTTGAACCATTTTCAGTTTCTACTACTTGGCCTGGAACGAATTTTGGTCCAGTATGTGTTTCAATCACTTGTCCGGGTACGAATTGTTCTCCTCGATCTGTTACTACTCTTTGACCGGGTACAAACTTTTCATCGACGATTATTCCCGGTACAAATCTAATACCATTTTTCCTTATTAGTTTACCAGAAACTATTTTACCCGCGGGTAACCCACCAGCTTTATCGCCAGGGTAGAATTCGACACCATAGAGAGTTTGTACCATGTGACCAAAAACTTCATCAGATTTTTCCCCCTTAGGGTAAAAAGAGTTATTTGTTAATATACCAGATTGCACTTCATCAGAACAAATAGCTTCCTGAATTGATTTTGCTTTAACAAATTCGACTAGTCCATTTTCCGAAGATCGTGAATGACCTAATACAAACTGCTTGTTTCCAACGTTGTCCCTTAAAATATTTCCTGAAACAAATTTCGTTCCATGTTCGGTTTCAATACTTATTCCAGACAAGAATTTAGTGTTGCCATTATTGTCTAACGATGTTATTCCAGGTACAAATGATGTGTTGCCATTAGTTTCAACTAGTCTTCCCGGTATGAATTCTTTTTCTTCTTTTTCTTTAACATTTAACCCTGGAACGAAAGAGGACCCTACACGTACTCCTGGAACGAATTCCCATTCACCGTTTTCTTTTAATATACTTTGTCCTGGAGTAAATTCAATATTACCATTTTCCCAAAATTGCCCAGGTACAAATTCAGGACCATGAGTAGTCATTATGGTTTGTCCTGGAATAAAGTGTAGCTCATCATCATTATTAATAGTTTGGCCAGGAACAAACCCAATACCACTAGTAGTAGTAACCGTTTGCCCAGGAAAAAACTTTTTCTCACCGTTAACTGCGATTGTCTGTCCAGGAACAAATGATTCTCCAACTCTAGTAACAATATTTTGTCCGGCTACAAAAATAGGCGGCGTATCAGCATTTTCAATAATTTGACCTGGTAAAAGTTTTGGTCCTTCTGGAGTTTGAACCATTATACCATGCACAAACATTTTACCACTCGGTGTACACACAGTTGTTCCGGGTATAAATTTATCACCTTCTGGAGTTTGTACGTATTGTCCAGGTACATATTTTTGCGCACCAGCAATATCCAACTTAAGAGCCTTAACTATTCCTTTATCCGTTTTTATAGTTTCAGGTGTACCTATATGAATACTTTTAATCAACGAATCAATTTCGTTTAATTTTACTAGTTTATCAATATTAACAATATTATTCCCGACGAACATTTCATCTGTCTCACAAGCATCACTATCAAGCGATACACTACAAAGTTTCATATAATCTTTAACTAGAGGATTTATTGGAGAAATAACTGGAGCGATTGGTAAATTAGTAATAGTTGATTCATCTAGTAAAGTTTGATGAACAACGCCTGGAAACGCAGTACTAAGATCTACTATATTTGGTTCAATTATAACAGGACATGGTAATGTATTGCTTTCAAGTTTAACCTCAGAAAGCATGTCGGTGAGAATTAACTTTTCTGTAGATGGTTTTACAATGTTATGAATGTTAGAAATCGTTAACGATTTAGTATTTAATATGGTCAACTCAGATTTAGATTTAATAGGTTCGATTATTTTACTCTGACCAGCAGAAAATGTCATACGTTTTGACTTAAGTTCCTCTTCTTCTAATTCAGCCTCACTTTCTTTTTCTTTTTCTTCAAATATTTTTCGTCTCCAGTCATCCTTTACAGATTTTGTGTTTTTCCTGGGTCTGTTCCGAAACCCTTCGCCCTCCAACAGTTTTACTTCTGATATGTCTGTGTCTTTGACTTCTAGTTCCACAGTGTTACCTCTACGTAATTTCAATAGTACCGTGTCATTTGTCTCTGACATCATTATATCTTTCACGTCACCATATCTGACAGCATTTTCTAAACTTGTAGGGAAAATAAGACTGCACCTGCGTTTGTTTACCGCGTAAACGTATCTCTTTTCGTCGTCGCACTCGGTTTTCAATATTTCTGATAATTCTGTGCATCCTTCTATTACCGGGAACACATACCGGTATCCATTTAAAACTACATGTTTAGTGTCTGACAATGATGTCTTCTTTCTGCCCACTAATACTGGTATGTAATGGTGTGCCGGCAAACCGTACGATTTGCCGGTAATTCTACAAAATCGTTTTGCATCCGCTGGTGATATTGGCGGAAGCAACGGGAAATAATTCGGCTTCGGCAATCCGCGACTTTTGCCAGTGATGCGACAGTACGTTGACATTTTGATATCATGATATTACAACGATTCGAAAGATAACATTGCGTCTAAGATCGTCGTGTACGCGGAGCACTGTCGGATACGCGTGTATGGCACTGTGAACAGTTACTCGCGTCGGAACAGACTGCTGCATGCATTTCTGTGGTAATATTATGTTAGAACGCTGCTTTCGAGTAGTTAATTTCCACCTTTGGCACAAGTCCGCGTCCGACGCAACACGAATCGAACCGAAATTCTAAAATTTTAATGGTCCAAACATTCATATCCAATGGGGCTCACAGTTGTCACCGTGCCAGAAACCAGAGACACGGTCGATGACTGCGAAAAAACACAAGACACTCGTTCTCTAATTCATGTAGCATGTTCTTTTGTATTTATACGAACTCAGCGGATTTTAGAATGAAATATATTTAGCCATTTTTAAATACCATTTATTATCACAAGTTATTGTGGCTATTTAGTCACTGCTAAATATACCTAATTATTATTGTCACTAAAAATAAAGTAAAGCTACAGTAAATATTTGAGGAGAAATTTAAAAGAAAAAAATTATCACCCTATAGATTCTATTCAATTGCTCTTAATAATAAGTAACAACAAATAGTAATAAAAAAATTTTGATTGCGTTATAAGAGATGCAACAGATTTATATTTTTGATAAAGATAAAAAAGTATATATTCGAAAGTATAAATTGAATGACGAAAAATAGAAAATAAATCAAAATAAAACATTTGTAGTTATTACAATGTGCATTGTTATTATTTTATTTATTTTTACATTTTAAATGATTTTACAAAACTACATTTTTTTAGGCCAAACTTTGTAGTAGCATGTTAAGTTATTGATATGAGGCCATTTTCTTACACATTCAATGCCTTCTATCCTCCCTTTTCATCAGATTGAGATTAGTAGATTTTAACACTAATTAATACACAGTGTACCATATTAAATTTTATTTATTTTTTATCTGACAAAACCCACTTATAGCTTCTTTAATTAATCTCCTAACGATGCTATAATACATTATATAATATTTTAAACTAGAAGCGTATACAAAATAAAAATAATTTGGCAGCTGATCGTATAGTATCTGATGTTTAGCATCTATTTAGAAAAGCCTAATTAATCGTGATACATTTGAAGATATTAATTTTAAAAAAATGTACGTCTTTTTTTATGTAGATAGATATTTTATATCAAATAATCTTTCATTTTTTAACTGGTCAATGAAGATTGTTTTTAGTTCATGTATATATTTAATCATGCATACCATTGTCCATTATTATGTTGTGAACTTTGTCATCGTCTCGCAGAGTGTGGCCAATCAATAAGTTCACACGTTTTTTAATGTTTTCAAATATATATATATATATTGTATACGTATTAATCGATATATTCAACTTCTTAATTTTAATCTCCAAAATGTATGAGAATTTCATTCTATTAAACATTTTTTTGAACACTGAAAATCCTTCTTCTCTTTGCTTGTTTTGATTTGTTTTTTGTTGATTCCATTATAATGTTACTGGTATTAGGCATGCGGTCTATGTATTTCAAATGATTTTAAAGTAACGTCTATTAAAGTTACACATTATAGTCATCCATTAAATCTAGGAAAAACAGTATTTCTAGTAGATTGAAAAATTTATCCGGTTATTTAAGCATGAACTTTCCTGATTTTTATTATTATAATAAATCGTATAACATCAATAACGGTTTGAATTTACTTTCATTAATATATGAAATGGTACTTAAAAATAGATGATTTAAATAATTTGTGACAAAATCAGAACCATGGGAACGTTTGAGCTTTGACGAATCAACCGCTTCACCTATGTTTCCCTTTTTTTCTTTGGGATACTTATAAATAAGATTTTCTATGCAATAAAACCTACTTATTGTATAGTCATGCTTACAAAACTAACACTATTAAAACGTTAAATAGAATTTACATTGTTAAGTATTGTTAATACATAGTTAATCAAATGTCTACTTACTGCTCCTTTTTTTGATAAAATCGAATTCAGTTCTGACACATAAGCTGTAATAAAATAAAATTATATTTATAAATATTCTAATATTTATAGAGACTTAAACCGCGGTATTACTAAATAAAGCATGTTATTCCCTAGAAACTTATTTAATTCATTAATAATAATAATTAAATGTGTAATCAATTACCACTGTCATACATTTAAGATTTTAGTAGCAGCAAATAACGTTAGTTAAGGTCTAGTTTCATCATATTATTTCCCTAGACAAATCACACCTTACAGCATAAGGCGTGTAAACTTTTTACAGAGTGCACTGACTTCCAATTTAATATAAATAGTAACAACAATTTAGTTATTACTAATTGAGTATGTTCTTTATAATTAATCACAGATTGAAGGTCAATGCACCCCGGGGAAAAAAATATGTACCGGGGTTGAGAGTTTTATAAAACTAACTCAAGTACTTGTTGTTTATTAAGAGACAACATGTAGGAAATATAAAAAAAATGTTCAATACTTTGAAACATAACTTAAGAATAATTTGTTTTAGCTGTAGAGTATTTTTTATAATGTAAAATATTTTATAAACCCTATTTTGGTTGAAAAAACGGCTTTTAAAGAATAATTTATAGGTTGATCAGATTTTGATAATTATATTTTTTTAAAAGAAGAGCTTCAGTTTTGTAAAAGTATAAGCCCCGGTGCCTATTTTTTTGTAAAATATAAGATTAATTTTACATATTAAGGTCAATGGTACCTACAATGTAGAAATTAAAAAAATATATTTTCTAAAGACATTTTTAAATTACAACTTGAAATATTAAATAATAGCTACCAGTTTTGGCAATAAGCCACTATTTGCAGACTACATATAACTAAAAACACCTAACAGTTATAATAGAACACAGCTCTAATACAAAGTTTGAAAGACATACATTAATTATTTTTTACAAGAAAACTCCTAGTAAATATCAAACATTAGACAAGACTATAAAATAAATGTTTTTCGCGTGATGAAAAATAACTAATAATTTAACCTAACCGTTTTATTATTATTGTAAACTATCCAATACACGCTACAATTTAAATTTAAATTAAAAAAAGCAGGTTTAGGAAATACAAATCAAAAAAACTACATATGGTGTACTTGCGAAATATTATCATATTTTATGATATATGGTGGACTGAGGTAAGGAAATGAGTTTCATTTGTATTATTATAGTTTTTTTTAAATTTGACGCCAGAGAGTGTAATAAAAATATTGCACGAACTAAACCATCATACCTCAATACATGTTGAAATATGTTTTAGCATAATATGTAGATGACAACAACAACAAATATGACGATAAAAAAAGTTTTTAATATGTGTTAAAATGTTCATGGATTAAACAATAGTTTGATCATTGTCGAATATATCTGTGTTATCATTAGCTAACGTCTCCAGCCCATTTCAGAGAGAGACCCTTATAGAAATATATGGACCGTGGTTCAATAATTCTGAGCAGAAATGGAAAATCAGAACTCATGTTTTATTTTACGATCCAGTACAAGAAAGAAAAATATGTCTGGCTATTAAAAGTTTTGATAGTTAATTAGTATTTAATATATTCGACTATTTTACTAAGACAAATTATTAATTTAATAAAATAGAAATTAAATATATGATTTGTGTTATATAATAGAAATTATTTTTAGAGAAAACAAATACGTAAAAGCCTAATCTTTGAGGTGGTTAGATTCCAGGTTTCTATACATGCATATTATTATGAGTTAGCATGTATAATTTTTTAATATTTTCAATAGTATTGTTGATATTGTTAAGCACGGCAAAGAATAATTAGAACAGTTGGTCACAAAGGGCGTATTTATGATATTAAATTTTGTGTATGAAAATATTTTCCGATGTTATTTTACAATAAACGTTTAAACTCCAATCGCTTTTTTTTACAGGTGCAACAAGACTGGTATTTTTGCGCCAGTTACTAAACTCGCCAGGCCAAATTCTAGCAATGTCAGTGGGTGATTCTCTGATACCCAGGGATTTTGACATCCATTGTTTCACTTAATGAAAATATTTCGGGTGTTATTATGAAGTGATTTAAAAAACGACGGAAAATCATTAATATCTTGGCCGGATGGCACTATGTTGTCTGCAGTTCTCTTCAAGCAACCTCCTATGCCGTTGGATGCTCCTTTTCCGTGGCCAGGAGCAAAGTAATTCCACGTGGCTGATTTTATGCCTTGCATTATATGGGGAAGCAAATGAGATATCATAAATAATATCGTCTGATTGCGTTATTGGGTCGCAGGACTATCTGATAGAAAATTAACTACTTCTACTTTGACAACGTTGGTCATTATACATTTAAAAACAGGCTTTAAATGTGGCCATGCTGTACCTGGGCCATAGTTATTTGTTTCGATTAATAACTAAATGTAAAAGTTTAGTCCTCCGTAAAAACATTCAGGACCTCATTTTTTCTTTAACTACTTTGATAAGCTGACCTTTTTGGGAGGAGATCTGGAACTTGGCCCTTTTTCACTATTAGGTTTTTGTTGGAGATTTTATTTACTAGTTATTTGATCATCACTAAGCTACCTATACTGTAATCATTATCTAATATATATTCCTCGTTTTTTTTTTACTCTCGTTACAATTAATTCAACATACCAACTTCCTTTTTCACCACACTTTTATTTTTTCCTCGTAATTATCCAAAACGCAGTACATTAATCGATACAAAAAAGGTAACATCTAAATTGTTGTCTAATAGTCTAAACTATTCTATAAAAGCCTACTCTTAGAACTAATTTAGGTTTGATTTTTGTTTTATTATATAAAATGCCTGACGCGTCTTTCTACAGCATTCATCCATATTTTATTTTATAGTTATACTCTTATGTCTGCCTCAGAGCATCAACTTTTAATAAAATACTTCCTAAATATTTGAACTTTCCTCATATTGTGATCCACGTAGTCACCAATTTGTATTTATTTCTTCTTATCCTACTATCTTATATTTCCTCGATTCAAATTATTACTTTGTCTTTTATCTATTTAATGTTCTTTATTTAAATTATAACTTTACAACCCTACCGCCAAATAATAAACATACGACTATG